AATACAGTGAAATAAATTTGGAAAGAGGAAAAAAGGGACATGAAGAATTCAGAAGATTAGAATTTGAGAGAACACAGAGAGTGGATGCATCTGCGCCATTGCAAACGATTTTGAGCCATGTCATTCAGGGGCTCTAACCATCGGTTGCTATCATCTCGCGGTCCCCAACCAGGTAGTCTACACCTACCAACATAACTCAGTCCACTTGTCAGTGACTTCATGGACTTGTGCCACGTTTTGGTTTGGCCGCCCCTAGCTTTCTTCCAACCTACTCTTATACCACTGAACATAGCACGTCGAGGTAGTCGGTGGTTGGGCATACGTAACACGTGTCCCAGCCATCTCAACCGATGAAGTTTCACTACTTCATCAATTAATTTGCCATCCTTACCTAGTACCCGTTTCCTAACAACTGTGTTACTTACTCGATGGTCCCATGATATACGAGCAATGTTTCGAAGACACCTATGATCGAATACTAGTAACCTACGGATATCCTCTACTCTTACCGGCCATGTTTCACTGCCATAAAGTAGGACGGAACGAACTGCTGCTCAGTAAACCCGTCCTTTGGTTGATAGACGGATATCTCGCCTACGCCATAAATGACGCAAGTTGGCAAAAGCTAGTCGAGCCTTCTGTATCTGTGCTGAGATTTCGTCACACACCAGACCACAAGGGCTGATGAGACTTCCAAGATAAGTGAAGAGGTCGACACTCTCAACTACTTCACTCCCTATCACTAGTTCGGGTGTCGATGTAACCCGATCCTGAAGCAACATTTTGCATTTCGAGGGAGAGAATCGCATCCCGAACATGCTTGCATTGTTGCTTAGAGTGGTCAGAAGACTCTGCATTTTGTCAGCGTCTTCGCCAAATAAAACTATGTCATTTGCATATTCTAAGTCAACAAGTGAACCTCCCAGTAGAAGTTCAACCCCTGTAAATTTAGATGAGGAGAGTGTTATCTCCAAAAGTATGTCGACCACAAAGTTGAACAAGAATGGGGAGAATGGACAGCCCTGACGAACACCACTTGAGGTAATCAATTCTGATGACAGTTCGCCATAAGCTCTCACTCGACCAGTTGTGTTCGAGTAGAGAGCCTTTGCAAGGTTAATGTACTTCTTTGGTACTCCTTTCAGTGACAAACACTGTCATAGAACCTCATGATCAACAGAGTCGAATGCCGCCTTAAGGTCGAGAAATACTACCATTGTGGGGCGTCTGAATGTGTGTCTGTGTTCTAGAACCTGACGTAGTGTGAATATCTGGTCTATACAACCACGTCCATGTCGAAAACCAGCCTGATTTTCTCTAGTCTGCTCTTCACGAGCTTTGATTAGGCGTCGAAGTATTATTAAAGCTAATATTTTAGACACTATATTAGTCAAACTGATTCCTCTGTGATTGTCACAAGAGGACTTTTGTCCTTTCTTATAGACTGGCACAATCAGTGATTGAGACCAGTCAGATGGGATTACGTCCAGTTCCCAAATTCTACCTAAGACCTCGGTTAATCTCATTGCTAATACTGGACCACCATCCTTAAAAATCTCAGGAGTAAACCTGTCAGGGCCTGCTGCTCTCCCTCGTTTCAGATTTCCTATGGCTTTTTCAAATTCGTAAAGAGACGGAGGACCTACATTAACTTGCCATTCAGGTTGACTAGAGATCGTGGGAAACCGAAGTGTGGCTGAAGGCCAGTTGAACTGATCCCTAAAGTGTTCTTTCCATCGATCCAATCTCCTGGATTGAGAATGTATAATATGTCCATCTTTCTCTGAGAGTGTTTCCTTAACAAGTCTGAACAATTGTCTGCTATTACCTATTGCCGCTGCCTTTGCCATCTCTCTTGCTTTCGCTACCCACCACTGTTCGCGATCACTGCGTAGACTTCTTGTCAGCTTGCGCTTAAGCTGACTGCGCTCTTCATTATGTTCAGAGCCAGGTGGAACGAGTTTTCGAGCATCTATCAGTGCGATAGATGCTGCTGAGACCCAGTGTTGCTCTCTAACCTTCTGGTTTACCTTACTAGCAGATATCACTGCTGTTTCCACAGCTTTTCGGATATCATTCCATGCTGCATCGGGGTGGGCATCACATACATGGCTGCCTAACTGTCTTCCTAGTTGTTCCTGAAATATACTCTTAGCTTGACTATCATTAAGTAGGCGCCTAAGAGGTTTCCTTACAGCGTCTTTCCTACGTCCTGTAAGACGCAAGCAAATACGCGCTCGCACTAGAGCATGATCTGAATCTAAGCATGTGCTCCAGAATGAGCGACAGTCTTCTACCGAGCCCCTCCATCGGTGGCTGATAGCGATGTGATCTTTTTGGGTCCAACGTTGGGACGAATTAGGGGGTCGCCATGTTAAAAGATGTTTTTTCTTATGCTTAAAGTTAGTATTTGCAAGGAACAGGCGGTTATCTGAGCATAGCTGCAACAGACGGTCGCCATTATCTGTTCTTTGAGCCACGACACCATAAAATCCACCCAGGTGTCTTTCCCTATCGCTTAGTTTGCCTACTTGAGCATTAAAGTCACCGGCCACTATTACTACATCCGAGCGCTTAGCTTTACGGAGAAGGTCCTAAAGCTTTCTGTAAAACTCATCTTTTACATCATCTGAGCTGCAGTCAGTGGGAGAATAGGCAGAGACGACGAAGAGGCAACGACGAGTGTCCCTATCTTTCCGGATTCTTACTGTTCCGTTCAGTCGGACAGCGCACAAACGACTGTCTACTGGGATCCACTCTAAGAGAGCTAGTTCTGCCCTAGGACTCAATACTATACCTACACCGGCGAGGCCACGGGAAGCACAATCAGGGCTTCCAGATACACGAAGCGTAAATCGAGTCGGTTCTTTATTTTGGCATGGTGAGGTCAAATGAATGACGCTACTTGGATCCTGTATGCGCGTTTCGGAGACGCAGCACACATCGATGGCGCGAGATTCTAAAGTTTTAGCTAAGGAAGCCTGCTGTCCTATTTGGCAAAGTGTTCGTACGTTAAAAGCTCCTACGTGTAGTTTAGAGCGTGGTTTCAGGAGACCAGGAATGGCGTTCCACGTACTCGAATCGTTTGCCCTAGCGGTTCTAGATGATAAAGAGACGTGGGGAGGGTTAGTCGGGGAGATAAGAGAGGTATTAGGTGTAGGAAAGATTTGAATGTGACCACCTTGGTCTCGTGTGCTGTTACGGGTATGAGGACTGATATCACTTCCCGGCTGCCCACACCGTGGAAGGGTATTTCTTGAGAAACCTGAAAAGGAAATTGGATTAGTGTTGGTCTTGACGACCTGGGAGCGTGACCGCAGAGCCCAAGGGACAACTGCTTGAGGCCGGTCGCGCACGGCCTTTTTGTGGAAGGTTTTTGACGTGTTAGCTCCGTTTTTCAAAGGGCCTTACCGCCGGAGACGGAAATACGTGAGGTAAGGTAAGGTGTGACACTTTTAGGGTCGACCTTTTCTAACCCCACCCCTCCTTGTGGGAAGGCAGCATCGCTGTCATGCTGGATGTCCGAGGGAAACACCTTACTGCTGTCACACCCCTCTACAGTCAGCAGTACGACTTCGCCCTCAGAGCTTGAGTTGCTGCTTTTAGTCTTACCGTTCACCAATCGACCTGCCTGGCATGGTAAAACCTGCAGGAACATATGTTCCAGCCAATATAGCTCGGTTGGGTCATCACGATATGCAAGCCCGACCAGCGCGTCAAGGTAGCAGCTTCGGTCAGGTATGACCACTCGAGCTTCTGTACATTGACCATAGGTTGCTCTGTAGTCACGTGCTAACACAGGACATCTCACTCTGCACGTGGATTGTTTCTGAGACTTCGACTATACTGGTGTGTGAATCGTTTTAAGAATTCTTCTCATCAGGATTTCTACTGGGAAATTTCGCTCCGGTACGTCTCATTCGGTGTTGCTCGATAAACGAACAAGAAATTTTGTACCGCGTCGGCAGACGTTCCCTTCCCTTTTGACTTAACCAATGCTCTTCTAAACGTATCCACAAACCTTTCCACTTGCCCATTCGACTGCGGGTGGTATGGTGGCGAACGTAAGTGCTGAATACAATCACATCTGGTATGCCATTTCGGGAGAAAATTTCAGTGAGGAGCTGTATTATTCCAGTTGTCATGGGCGGCATTACAAGAATGATTTATGGCCATTTTGAAAAGGCATCGACCACAAATAAATACATAGTCCCATTAATTGGGCTCGCGAAGTCGACGTGTATCCTGGACCAAGGATGATCAGGTTGTGGTCATGGAATTAGCGGGACTTTGACATTCACCTTTGCTGTTTGCTGGCACCGAATGCATTTTTCAACCAATTCAGTGATAGGTTGGTCCACTGGGCGCTAGTATGCATAACTCTTGGCTATGGATTTCATTCGTCTAACCCCCGAATTACCAAGGTGGAACTGTTTCAGCACTTTTGCGCGAAGGGGCTCCGGCACAACCACTTTCTCCAAACCTCGAGCAGTCGTTTACAATCCTGCCGCTGATACAACTGTTTCATTTCACCATTAAACTTCTTAGACGGCCAACCGTTGGTGAAATAGCTCATCGCCATCTTGATGATGGGGTCGTTCCTGGAAGCGTTTCGTATATCTGTTGCAGACACCGGCAATACCCTTATTGCGGTTGTCAGATAACATTCCGCGTGGTCTTCCGCAGACGGAGATGCGATTACCATGTTTTCCTAAGCCGCCAATTGATCATTAATGAGTTGTAACAAGGCATCTTCCTGACCGAATTGTTGAGTGCATCGGTATTGGATCTCGAAATCATACCCCAATAGTACCAAGGCCCATCGTTGAAAACGATTTGCAGAATGGGCTGCAATGTCAGATTTCGACCCGAATATTGCGAGCAGAGGCTTGTGATCTGTGAGAAGAGTAAATCTCCTACAGTACAGAAACTTGTGGAAACGTCGGACAGCAAACACAAGTGCAAGAGCCTCTTTTTCTATCTGACTGTATTTCTTTTCTGCCGGGGTTAGTGTATAGGACGTATGCATAACAGCTTTTTCTGACGCGTCCGGAAACTAATGTGAAATAACAGCACCTAGGCCATACGCTGAAGCGTCTGCAGCTACGATAATTGGCATAGATGGATCGTAGTGCGTTAACAACAATTTCGAGCTAATTATCGACTTGAGTTTACAAAACGCCGCATCACACTCGTTAGTTCAGTTCCAAGTGCTGTCCATCCTCATCAGACGATTCAATGGAGCACGAATTTCAAGCATCGAAGGAACGAACGCTGAATAATAGGTAACAAGTCCCATGAAGGAACGTAGTGCCGAGACATTAGCGGGGGTGGGCATCAGTTTGGTAACTCGAATGTTCTCAGGATCCGGCTTGTGGCCGTCGGCGTCAAAAATGAACCCCAGATACTTGACTGACTGCAATAAAAACTGGCATTTCTCTGGGCTTAAGCGGAACCCGTTGTCACTGATACGTTGCAGTACCAGTGTCGTGCGTTCCTGTAGCTGTTCTAATGTCGTCGCAACAATTAAAATGTCATCGAGATAAACCGCGATCCCCGGGATACCTGATAGGATGGTATCCATCAGTTGCTGGAAGATAAATGGGGCAGTCTTGACTCCAAAAGGCAGACGGTTATACTGAAACAACCCACGATGAGTGTTGATAGTAAGCAGCTCTCTTGATGCTTCATCTACTCCCACTTGCAAGTAAGCATCAGCTAGATCCAGTTTTGCGAAAAACTTTCCCCGATTCAGCATAGTAAACAGATCTACGGGAACTGGCAAAGGATAATGATGCTGTTCCGGAGCTGCATTGAGACCTGTAGAAAAGTCAGCACATGTACGTATCATGCTGTTGACCTTCTTGATAACAACTATAGGTGCTGCCTAAGCAGAGTAAGAAACGGGTGTAATAACTCCTTGTTGTTGAAGACGATTCAATTCTTCATCTACTGTTGGTAATGTTGCGTAAGGCACGGGTCTTTTGGGGCAGAAAACAGGCTTAGCCCCAGGTTTCAGCCGAAGCGTTGCTTTCGCGGCAGAACATCGACACAATCCAGGTTGGAAAATAGATGCAAACTGCGTCACTAGCTTTCTCGTATATGCTTCAGGGTCATGTGGTTGTGATACTAGGTGGCATATGGTATTTAATGAGACATCAACTAATTTTAGCTGGTTGAACCAATCAAAACCAAGCAAATTTAGATCAGCTGTTGTTGTATAACATACCCCGGTAAACGTCGAATTGTGAAAAGAAACTTTACAATCTAGTTGTCCCAACAAATGTAGGTGATTACCACATGCAGTAAGAGGTTTTTGTGTTGTTGGCACGGTGCGTGGTTTGCCCATTCTGATCCAAGGTTTTCGTGAGAGAATTGTCACGTCAGATGCAGTGTCTATTTGCAATCTAAACGGATGCCCATTAATACTAAGGGTAACGAATTTCCTCTGACCTGGGGATGAGCTTTGACAAAAAGACATCAGGCTCAACGAAGTGGTACAGGATTTATGAACAGTCTTCTTGGTACTTCTGGATCGGTTTGGCTTCCTCTTAAGGCAAAACCCGTCTTTATGACCGACGACCTTACACTTCCCGCATCGATATTGCCTAAATGGACAGTTTCGTACATAGTGCCATGCACTGCAGTGCCAAGATGGGGCAGGAGGATTTGTTTTTGTCTGTTGACTTGAACTAGTAGCTGGGGCAGATTTATGCGGGTTGGGTGGTTTTTGGACTACATGAGTTTCGGTACGACCTAAACCACCACGCTGGACCATCGTGGTGTCACGCCGTAGATTCATTAGACGTTGATATTCATTTACAATATCATTGAGTGTAAATTTGGGGTCTTGGTCTAATCGACTAAGCAGCCGTATTATAATGTCACTAAACTTCTGCGATTGGAGACCGCAGATTAAAATAAGGGCTTTGAATTGATCTTCAGTCAGCGACTTCAACCGAAGTAATTAATTGTAGTGAGCTCAGAAACTGTCACGTTGTTGAATTCACTTGGTATTGTTTACTTGAAGCGAACGGCACTGGGTTCATGTCCCAGAGTGAACATCAAATCTGAGATTTAGGTACATCCAGCTGACAAGTCCCAAACAGAACGCCACTATCCATCTCTGCTTATACTGTCACGTTTTTAGTTTGGATTAATTAAATTTACATTGCATACTACAAAGTTGGACGGTTTTCACAACATACTATACTAAAATGTCATCATGCTTTTACAACTAAAAAAATTTGAGAAGGTTTGACGCAATAGAGCTGTTATAGCCCAAAACCGCCAATTAGGGAGCAGCGAATTATCGATCGGACCAAGGACTCATAAAACGCGTGAGAGCAGTCTAGAGTCCTTATTGGTCATGCTTTCTGCCTAGCCCAGCCAGTTAAGTCCCGAACACCAGTCTCAGCCTCTGCAATATGAATCATGTATTTCAAACATACTCTGTTTATACACCAATCAAGCAGACCACATCGTACCATAAAATAGAAAATAACATTTGTACAAGATTTGGCCAAATGTGGCTGTGAATGTGGGAGATAGTGATTAATAGACAGGGAATAGTTCAATAATGGAAAATCGTATAATAACAGTTCATAGGTTAAAATAAAGCTTATGATAAGAGACACATGAATATGAATAGTTTAGTTAATTAACAATTATACGATAAAAATGTACGAATAGTATTGGTCCATAAATAGATCCCAAAAAATGACCACTCATTTTTCTTATCGGGACATAACGTCTATTTATGTCGTCTGAAATAATGAGGGCTTCACAGTCAAATTACCACAGAACTTTGAAGTTAGACATATAGGTGAGTTTATCATTATCAAACATGCTTGAACTTTTAATCAGAGGAACCTATAGGAAGATTTACTGATTAAGTCAAAAGTGTTAACTCTTTCTACGTCTCCCCCTTGTCTGTCATATGTTCTTCATCCATATGATCTATTTTCTGACTGAGTAAAACTGGACTAAAAGTGAAATAGATTATTCTAACAGTTTATCAAAACTATCATTACAATGAAGGTTTATATTTGTCTGCATTAAAAGGCTTAGATATTTGATTACGTAGGAACTGCACGACAGCTACTTCAGTTTGAACAGTTAAATTGTGTCATTACACTACTAGATGTCTCACATAAAAACATAGTTGCCCAATACCAATTGTACGAGAATCTTTACTAACAGTATAAGACAACAACCAATTACGTAATCAGACTAACTAAATTGTGATTGGATAGAAAAATATGGTCCTGTTACATCAAGTCATTATCATCCTATATAACTGATGGATGCACATGTGCATATTTATGAATTGTACACAAAAATGACTAATTAACTCTTTTATGCAACCCTTACTCTCAGTATGTAGATTATGTCTAAACATTTGTGCTACATACAAACCTCGAACTCAATTAGACATACATACGTTTGCTAACGGGAAATGTTGGTCCGTAGCCATAAAGATGGATTAACCAATAATATCTAAGTTAAAAACCCACAATTCAGAGTCATTCTGATCTCAGTGGGACAAACATTGGAAGCCAGAAAGTACAGGATAGTTGTTGTCATTCTATATGTGATTCCTCAGCAGCGAGTCTTTGGGATACCATTAGGTGATCAAACTCAGAAATTTTGATTTCGCAACGAGCGCCTAACCATAAACCACTTGAGCCGGCATCCGATTATATACATCTCTAACTTCAATTTGAAACACTGGACTTTCATCTTCCATCGCTTGTGGTGGATAATTGTGTCAAATCCGGCAGTACAATAGTTTACTTCTAACTTTAGCCACATCACGACAATGTGCTTGAGAATTAAAGAACTCATTTAGAAAATTTATTTGTATGAGTATTAAATCCTACATAAAATGATAGAAACAGATGTGAACTACCTGTAAAAGTAGACCATGTAATATATTCAATCGAATATTGCACCATCTCTTAACTGGCATTGATTCATGAAATAGTTCCATTAAATCGAATAAATGGTTTAATGTAGTCATGATAACACTTGGATGTATAATTGAGGTTAAAGCTAACGAAGCAATTTTACGTATACGTATGTCATCACTAAAACCACACCTGAAAAAGTAGTATAAACATATATTTCGTTAAAACAGGTCAGAATACAATGGACAATTATTTCGTTATAGTGAGATGTATTAGTAGTATGTATACTCGCTACCTCATTTAGGAAGTATCAGTTTTGTGATGACAATGGCTACTTTAGGCTAGTCAGTTTGAATCCAACGTTAATTAATAATTTGAAATATGTAGTTCAACGGTTGGATAATATATGTCTTCGGAAACTATGTGCCTTCGAAGTGAACAAGATAATCACACTGCACGGACTTAAAAACCCATTAATGCAATGGTTTTGCAATATCTATCAATTGTACTGTTTAGTTGACATAATTAACCACAGAATGTAATCTGTATAATTTAAGTCATACTGAAAACATAAATTCGGTAAATTTTCAGATGACTAGATGCTTTAATCATCAATAAATTGACGAAAATAACTTCATGTTACTAGTTGGGGCTGATTTAACAAAGTACTTTATTTCCATTTATTGACAGACGTTGCTAAGAGTTCTTAAGATTTTGGTTAGCATCGCATTCCAGTACCTAACGCCTTCAATGTCAGAACGTGATCAGATAAGCTACATACACGGTTGGAATTTCAATTTAAACATCAACACTAGGCCATCGTTACTTCTAACTGACGAGTCTTAAATAAAACTACAAGCAATATCAACACAATAATCAAGTCAAATGTTCAGCAGACAACGAAAAAATTGACTCTCGTAAAAAAATGGTAAGAGTCTAGTCAGTTTAGACGATTAAAGATCAACGCAATATATACGGAGCGATTAAAGTACCACAGAAAATTAGAGGTTTCATGGTCTCCATAAGAAATGACGCTCGATCATATATGGATTCATGAGTTTGTATTCATCAAGATTTTGAGAACAAGAAAGGACAAACTGTACGAATTTCATTAATGTACGATTACTTCGCAGATGTATGCATAAATTGTTATTGTATTTTAATCACTGCAATTTATGCTTGATATGTTATATATATTACTTACCTAATAAGTAGTTTATATAACATTTTATCAATCTCAGTAACTTGTAAGGATGGTAGTAGGTGTGTCATCAAATGAAGTATACTGTACAATTTGAAAGAACTTGGATGTGGAATGCTGTGGAATTTAGAAAAAAAAGATAAACATAGACTTCAACAGACATTGAAGGAGAAATCTTATGGTTGGAGGAGCATCAATCATATGCAATGATCAAATAGTTACAAGAAGAAGGAAAAGAAGTACTCTTAAATGATGAATAATATTTGGCAAAACATTAAGTGTAGAATTAACGAGTGGTGTGCACTAAGCATACCTAGTATACCTTGTGTTTTATATTATAATTAATTTGTATATATTGAACATTCATACTTTAATTAATGATTAATTTAAATGAAAAATATATTCAGGTTCAGAAATTATATATAGATTAGTGTAGTTGTATTGGTAGTTTTCGTTACGGACTGATAAAGTTACTAACTCACAGAGAGATATTCACGCAAAGACTAACCTCCATTAGTAGGAAGGATACTGAGGTACTTACACTCAATGATCTCTGAGCAACAACCAATATCACCTAACACAAACAACATCAGTTAACACATGATTACTACTAATAACTATAAATCATTGAATTCTGAAGAGAAGATTGGTTGGTTAGTTATCATTTCTATGACTAAACTACAGTCACTGTTAAATTGTGCTGCACGCTCATAGATAGCGAACAAATTATTCGACTACGTATAAAATACATTTCATCAGTAATAAATATTCAGCATCGAAAGATACTTCTGCTGGCGCAATACAAACGTGCGTCTAAATTCCTGAGTGCAGTTGAGGGTGGGGAGAGTCTCCTCTCCCTCTAGAAATGCTCGCGTATGACCACGCACATATGGACCACTCTCAAGAAAGTCCTATTCACCATCTTGCAGGAGTTTCGTTTAAAAAATCAAGAGGACGAAAAGCCAATGTTCAGAGCTTAAACCACAATCGTGGATACGGAGAAACAACCTAGGACAGTTGAGCAACCCTGATTCCGAACCGATCATGCATTTTACCTTCACGGTCCCGAAAGAACAAGTGATGTATGAATCTATTCTTGGTCACTATCTACTATCAGACTGCATCTCCGAACGTCGCTCCCCTGCCACTGCCTTGTGGATTAGACTAAACCTCTGAGTCTCATGCTCAGGGAGAAAAACTCCTGATACAGTTTGGGCACATGGGCAGTATTCCAGCACACATGGAAAATCAATGATAAGTTGTGTGCTCACTATACATAAACTTTCTTGACTATGAAAAAGCATTTGACAGTGTCAATAGGAGTACGTTATGGGACCATCTTCGACACTAAGGTGTACCTGAGAAAATCGTCAACATCATACGGAGTTCATACGAAGAAATACAGTGAAAAGGTGCGCATGAAGGACAACTGACAGATGCATTCCAAGTGAGGAGCGGTGAAAAACAAGGCTGCTTACTCTCACCCTTTATCTTTCTTCTGGTGGTTGACTGGATTATGAAGACCTACACATCTGAGGGAAAACACGGAATACAATAGAAAGTGTGGATGCAACTAGACGATTTACACTTCTCAGATGGCCTAGCCCTTCTATTCCATACAAAGCAACAAACTCAGATTAAGACAGTCAGTGTAGCATCGCCTCTGCAGCAGTAGGTCTCAACATACACAAGGGAAGATGCAAGACCCTCAAATATAACACAGAGAGCACCAACTCAATCACACTTGATGCAGAAACTCTGGAACAGGTGGAAACTTTTACGTACCTGGTCAGCATCATCGATGAACAAGGAAGATTCGATGCAGACGCAAAGGTGAGGATTGGCAAAGCAAGGACAGCATTCCTACAATTGAAGAATATATGGAACTCAAAACAACTCTCAGCTGACATCAAACTCAGAATCTTCAATACGAACGTCAAGACAGTCCTACTGTACGGGGCTGAAACTTGGACAACTACTGCAACCATCATCAAAAAGGTACGTGTATTTATAAACGGTTGTCTACACAAGACTCTTAATTTTCGTTGACCAGATACCATCAGCAACAGCCTACTATGGGAGGAAACATTCCAGCTTCCAGCTGAAGAGGAAATTAGGAAGAGACGTTGGAAGTGAATAGGACATACATTACAGAAATCACCAAACTGCATCACGAGGCAAGCCCTAGTAATTTGGAATCCTGAAGGGAAACGGAAAAGAGGAAGGCCGAAGAACACACCGAGTCGGGAGTTGGAAGTAGACATGAAAAGGATGAATAGTAACTGGAAGCGAGTGGAAAGGATTGTCCAGGACAGAGTTGGATGGAGAATGCTGGTGGGCGGCCTATGATCCACGAGGTATAACGGGCGTAAGCAAGTTGTGCTAATATGTGCTTTATCATAGAATGGAAATACTCAACAGTGCACATACACTACAAAGGATCGAATACAATGTTAGGACTATCCATCTTTCCAACTTCAATGATTATAAATCATTTTGGTTTCGAGATTTTTAGGCTATCCATCATTTAAAATAAATCATAGTAGAACCAGTTATATTCACTTTTTAGCTTGATGTAAACAATAAACAGATTAACGGAATTCGATGACCTCGAATTATTTAATATATTTGACTTGGAATAACACAATTTTATAAAATGTCACCCATTGATACATGATTAACTGCATGCTCAAACTGAAATATGTTGAATGAAGATTTGAGTTGGGAGTTTGATAGTCAAAATTTAGTTGTCTTGTTTATATACATATTGATACCACAATAGATATTATTACATAGAGAAATTGACACACTACTAAACCAATCAGGATTGAACAATGGAGATTTTAGTGTAGAAATTTACAAAATTAAACAACCAATATAGAGTGGAAGCATTTATTTATTTATTTGAACACAGATGCATTGGCACAAGGAAAGATCAAATAGATATAGACCACATATATCATTCAATTTGTGTGTGGGCTATGATACTGCCCGGGTGCTCAAAACCAATCATGTAATTTCCTTAGGCGGCCACATCCCGAACCTTCAACCTAAAGGTCTGATCCACAAGGCAGTGGAACAACGTAAGGAGATGCAGTCCCATGGTAGACGGTCACCAACGATTGGTTCATACGCCATTTTTCCCTCAGGATTCTGGAGCCCATGTGCAACACTGGTGTGGAATCAGGGTTTTCCAACTCCCCTAGGTGGATTCTCCGTATCCACCAACCCAGTCAAAGTGCCGGACATTCGCTTTTCGTCCTCTCAGTTTTGTAAACAACACCCCCGCCACGAGAAGGCAATGAGTAGGACTTCCCTGGCAGTGGTTGTATGCACGTGGCCATGTGATAGCATTCCGAGAGAGAGAGAGATGACCTTCCCCACTCTCGGTTGTACCAGAACATTTGGGGCCTATAAACACATGTATAATGATTCAAAAAGTAGACATTTTAATGATCAAAAGAATAATCGTTATTCTTATAAATATTCATACTTTGTATTCTTTGAGTACGATGTAAGTGTTTCAACAAAGTAGTGTTCAAATTTCGGATAACGTTTGAAAAATGTTGATGTTGCTAAGCTTCAAAATTTTAAAAAATTTCAATGATATTAAGATAAAGATCATTTGTCAAAATTAAAAGTCAGTATTTATACATAGAAAAAGGTTAACTATTTTCAAATGGATGTATATACTATTAATTAAAACCAACAGGATTGAACTGGCTTTTCTTTAGTTAAATTACACTATAATATCGAATCAATCACATTCAAGGTAGTAACTTTTAAGTCATGATTGAAATATTGAAAATGAATTTCAATGATAGATTGTCGAATGAGTGATTTAGAAAACATTTTGATGCAACGCTTAAAATGTTTAGAATTCTTGAAAAAAAAGAGGGTTTATTATCCCATCAAACGGTATGATGACGAAGATATGGGATACAGTTAGTATTTCATACACAAATTTTTTAGAGAATGTAAATCAATAAGCGTTGATTTTAACATGAGAAAATTAGGGTTTTATTGAACATGACCTTTTCGGAATATCATATGAATTCATTGTACAACATCAAAATATTGGTTACATTACTTAAAAGCATATTTATACCCTCCTAACTCAATATATGCTGGACAGACACTGGATAATTCAAAAGAATTTTTATTAATTAACAAATAATAATCATTAGTTTTATCATACTTTGCAGGAGGAGTTAAGACCAAACACTCACGATTTAACCAGTGTGGACAGAAAAATCACTCATGATTTTCATTCAATCATTTATCAAGCAGAGATTCGTGTAAGGTAGTCAACACGGGACCTTGGTTAACCTAGTCATCGTGTTATTCGGGGCTGTACCTGTAATCCTGAGGGAGTCAAAGCTCCTTGGTGGACTTGACTTTATGTTACCCAGCTTCACAATCCGAGACGTTACCACAACTGACCTATTTGGGCTGTGACTCACCTCCTGTAGGACTGAGATATATGTACCACTGACTCATCATTGAGTTGTGGCAAATATCATGTATATCAAGTCTTTGTTAGTGCTAACCGAATTCTGTCAACCAAGTTGTCGGATAGCAGGAAAATTAAGTTCAAGGTTTTCTGTCAACTACCTACAACTACCCACCGCCTTAGGTCTCTACGTAGTGCACACAATGTCAAGTTACTTGGATTAGTGGCCAAATCGTAATGTGATCGATAGAATGCCATCTGCACTAAGATTTGACGTACATGGCGTCAGCCACTAATTAGTGATCAATCAATTTTGAGAATACATTCGTGCATTGTACTTGATCTTTTGGTTAAATTTTGAGGGATAGTGATATTGCCCGCCCGCTCAGTTGCATGAACTGAAGTGCATGCAGTCGGATCAGCAACCTAATGGTTAGGAGTTAAGTGTTTCAACGCTTAAGCCACCACAACATGAAGAAACCAATTCACACTCAGATAAACGATAAAAATCTGTAGAGACATTTTTTATAATACTCAAGTCGGAAAACTGATAATAGGTTTTGAAATAATAAAAAGTTTGTTAAAACGTTTGTTTTAGTACAATACTCATGGTTGGTGTTAACTCTCTCTCTCTCTCTTGATTGACCGAAAAGTGACTTTACAAACAAGATCACTTTCAATATATAGGTCTAAAAGTGTAGCGGTTAAAGCATACGTTTCAAAACTTGATAACTGAATTGAAATTCTCATTCACTTGTGTGCATACACAAAAATTGGAATCGATATATATATAAAGGTAATACAAACCAATTTTTTCGACTTTTAACTGCATTTGATCGATTTACACCAAAAATACGTTGAACTAGTGTACTATAAAAAAGTATGGAAGCATTTCGTATCTGTGTAATAAATTCAAAACACAAAACATGTAACAGGATTTTATTTTAAAATTTAATATTAGAGATTGATCGCAGGTAGGCAACCATAGAGGAATAGGAAAGTACAGAACAGCTGTTCAATACTAGTATGGTGAATACTTCAGTGAACGTGAGTATTCACAACTCTAAGACCGTGACGATTCTCACGAAAAATTAGCTTCAAACTACTGCATTGATTTACATCTATAACTTCAGTAAATTCGCGATATCTCAGGATCCTTGTCTAGTGTTGTCATAAGTGATGTATATCTCACACCTAATATGACTGAGCTCTTGTTGTGTCCCGATAAGAAAAATGAGTGGTCATTTTTTGGGATCTATTTATGGACCAATACTATTCGTACATTTTTATCGTATAATTGTTAATTAACTAAACTATTCATATTCATGTGTCTCTTATCATAAGCTTTATTTTAACCTATGAACTGTTATTATACGATTTTCCATTATTGAACTATTCCCTGTCTATTAATCACTATCTCCCACATTCACAGCCACATTTGGCCAAATCTTGTACAAATGTTATTTTCTATTTTATGGTACGATGTGGTCTGCTTGATTGGTGTATAAACAGAGTATGTTTGAAATACATGATTCATATTGCAGAGGCTGAGACTGGTGTTCGGGACTTAACTGGCTGGGCTAGGCAGAAAGCATGACCAATAAGGACTCTAGACTGCTCTCACGCGTTTTATGAGTCCTTGGTCCGATCGATAATTCGCTGCTCCCTAATTGGCGGTTTTGGGCTATAACAGCTCTATTGCGTCAAACCTTCTCAAATTTTTTTAGTTGTAAAAGCATGATGACATTTTAGTATAGTATGTTGTGAAAACCGTCCAACTTTGTAGTATGCAATGTAAATTTAATTAATCCAAACTAAAAACGTGACAGTATAAGCAGAGATGGATAGTGGCGTTCTGTTTGGGACTTGTCAGCTGGATGTACCTAAATCTCAGATTTGATGTTCACTCTGGGACATGAACCCAGTGCCGTTCGCTTCAAGTAAACAATACCAAGTGAATTCAACAACGTGACAGTTTCTGAGCTCACTACAATTAATTACGTATTTGTTAAAACAGCTAAATTAATAGAACAAAAATCCACCTCACATATCTTAAACAATTGATTTAAAACGACCATATTTTATAGGAACAAGGTGTTCGATGGTGTAATTACTAAGTTGCTACATTAAATATATTCACGGTGATTTTCTCGAATATTATTTGACTACTGTGGAAATTTATCTTATTGCATTTTATTATTTTTTATTAATTAAACACATAAACATTGGTACAACTAGATATCAAATAAATATAGACCACATATATCATTCAATTTGTGTGTGGGCTATGATACTGCCCGGGTGCTCAAAACCAATCATGTAATTTCCTTAGGCGGCCACATCCCGAACCTTCAACCTAAAGGTCTGATCCACAAGGCAGTGGAACAACGTAAGGAGATGCAGTCCCATGGTAGACGGTCACCAACGATTGGTTCATACGCCATTTTTCCCTCAGGATTCTGGAGCCCATGTGCAACACTGGTGTGGAATCAGGGTTTTCCAACTCCCCTAGGTGGATTCTCCGTATCCACCAACCCAGTCAAAGTGCCGGACATTCGCTTTTCGTCCTCTCAGTTTTGTAAACAACACCCCCGCCACGAGAAGGCAATGAGTAGGACTTCCCTGGCAGTGGTTGTATGCACGTGGCCATGTGATAGCATTCCGAGAGAGAGAGAGATGACCTTCCCCACTCTCGGTTGTACCAGGGCATTTAGGGGTTTTCATTGCATGAATTACATTTTTAGATGAACGGTTATCTTTGCTAAAAGTTTCCTTCATGAAAATCGACTGAATATTTACTATGATTTGGTTAAATGATTAATGAAAATACATCATATACACACACACACCAAACTATGACACATATGCGACTAGATGTGTATTATATCGAAGAGGATTTTAAGAAAGTTTACACTTTTTGAACTATCCAACGAGAGATCGTTATATTTCTACATTATCCTATATTAAAACTCGAATTTATAGTATAAACGTCGATATACGTTGTACTATTTCTAAATTAGAATTGTTTACTTATTCACTTCTTGCTTTGTTCCCTATTATTTACGGCTTGTAAATATACACAATATAATTTCTTATTTACGGTCTGTTGTGATGAAGTGACTAATGTCTAATCTTACGACTGTTTGAATTAAAATCTATGGGAAGTTTTATTTGATCGCTATGTTCATGTCCCAGCAGGATTAAAAGCAAGGCGCTTTGAAGAGCTCTCAGAATTTATATATATATATATATATATATATAACAAACTCACTGATAAATCTCCACATCCAACACCATCCAAAGCAATAATTAATGCTTTTTGTAAATATTTATCTGTATGATAATTTAAATTTTTTGATTGAAATATATCACGAATGATATTTAGGTGTAGTACACATGTACTCTGGGAAAAAAAGTTTAAAAACAATTAGGATAAAGAAAATCAGATAATTATGATTAACAGACAATTTGGGGCAAATATGCATTAGCCCAAGACGTCAGGCCAAATTACAACTACAAAATATAATTAACCGGATAAACAGTAAAGGGGTCGAAAATAATGAGGGGAAAAAACATTTATGATGTGGTTCGACAAGATGGAATGAACAGGTGTGTATGAAGGAATACTGAAACTCAGGATTTAGAACGAAATAGAGAGTGAATATATCTGCAGCACACTGTGAACGATTCTCAGTCATGTTACCCAACATTTCTAACCACTGATTGTGGTTATCACATGGAATCTAACCAGACAGTCGATACTTCATGCATATAAATTTTGGCACCCCTTAGTAGTAGTTTATATGTAATTAACTAATTAATTAATAAACCCCATTTTCAACCACAAATGACGTATTTATGTACAGATTGTGATCTCTTTTTATTTATGATGTATTCGGTCTTGTAAATGGATGAATATTTTAGATGTTAATTTTTGAGTCAATAGCAGAAGGTAAATAGAGAACGACTAGTTATTCACGTATCCTCACTTGCTATTAGAGATTAGAGAACTCATGTGGACCAATAAGCATGTTAGTTAAATCCAACTGTTGTTGTCTGTGTGGTGTACTATTTGAGTGAAGTCTATTGGTTATATGATGGTCAAAATAAAAGCATTATATTTTGATGGCAAAACTCCTGTTGATGTATGATCTTCAAGTGATTGTAAACTGATCTTGAAAAAATTAAACTACTAAACAAGCTAGGAATTGGTGTTATAAATAAGAATTAAGAGTTAAAGTTTTCACCACGAACTTAAATTAGTTCACTGTTATGTTAGCAAATTATAGTCTCGCCATAAAAACTATTGTGAATACAATGTGTTAAGTTTTGTGACAGAGCCTACAACACTTCTCAATCACGAGTGATTAGGATAGTCTGCTAATATGTAGGTAGAATTATGCAAACTCAACAGACGTATGACTGACGCACAACACTTTAAAAATAAACCGCAACGGTTTGGAAAATGAAGAGAGATTATGAACTCAGTAAAATCTTTTTATTCAAGAAGCCAACATTATCACTGGACAACTCTGTATCTATGGGAACCAAACTTGTAACATAATTAATTAGAAAAATAAAAATGAGAACAAAAAAACCTAATAACAACGAAGATGGTTTGACGAAAATTAATTAGAACAACTCTATCTTGATTATACTTGAACTCCTAACAAATGAAACTGCATAATCTGAAGTCTTCTAACAACAATATTCTGGGGCAAACTTCAATGAATTTTCCAAGAAAATGCCTTATAATAACTGTTCCGATAACGCGTCGGTTGGTGTCCCCTTCCCTTTTGACTTAACCAATGCTCTTCTAAACGTATCCACAAACCTTTCCACTTGCCCATTCGACTGCGGGTGGTATGGTGGCGAACGTAAGTGCTGAATACAATCACATCTGGTATGCCATTTCGGGAGAAAATTTCAGTGAGGAGCTGTATTATTCCAGTTGTCATGGGCGGCATTACAAGAATGATTTATGGCCATTTTGAAAAGGCATCGACCACAAATAAATACATAGTCCCATTAATTGGGCTCGCGAAGTCGACGTGTATCCTGGACCAAGGATGATCAGGTTGTGGTCATGGAATTAGCGGGACTTTGACATTCACCTTTGCTGTTTGCTGGCACCGAATGCATTTTTCAACCAATTCAGTGATAGGTTGGTCCACTGGGCGCTAGTATGCATAACTCTTGGCTATGGATTTCATTCGTCTAACCCCCGAATTACCAAGGTGGAACTGTTTCAGCACTTTTGCGCGAAGGGGCTCCGGCACAACCACTTTCTCCAAACCTCGAGCAGTCGTTTACAATCCTGCCGCTGATACAACTGTTTCATTTCACCATTAAACTTCTTAGACGGCCAACCGTTGGTGAAATAGCTCATCGCCATCTTGATGATGGGGTCGTTCCTGGAAGCGTTTCGTATATCTGTTGCAGACACCGGCAATACCCTTATTGCGGTTGTCAGATAACATTCCGCGTGGTCTTCCGCAGACGGAGATGCGATTACCATGTTTTCCTAAGCCGCCAATTGATCATTAATGAGTTGTAACAAGGCATCTTCCTGACCGAATTGTTGAGTGCATCGGTATTGGATCTCGAAATCATACCCCAATAGTACCAAGGCCCATCGTTGAAAACGATTTGCAGAATGGGCTGCAATGTCAGATTTCGACCCGAATATTGCGAGCAGAGGCTTGTGATCTGTGAGAAGAGTAAATCTCCTACAGTACAGAAACTTGTGGAAACGTCGGACAGCAAACACAAGTGCAAGAGCCTCTTTTTCTATCTGACTGTATTTCTTTTCTGCCGGGGTTAGTGTATAGGACGTATGCATAACAGCTTTTTCTGACGCGTCCGGAAACTAATGTGAAATAACAGCACCTAGGCCATACGCTGAAGCGTCTGCAGCTACGATAATTGGCATAGATGGATCGTAGTGCGTTAACAACAATTTCGAGCTAATTATCGACTTGAGTTTACAAAACGCCGCATCACACTCGTTAGTTCAGTTCCAAGTGCTGTCCATCCTCATCAGACGATTCAATGGAGCACGAATTTCAAGCATCGAAGGAACGAACGCTGAATAATAGGTAACAAGTCCCATGAAGGAACGTAGTGCCGAGACATTAGTGGGGGTGGGCATCAGTTTGGTAACTCGAATGTTCTCAGGATCCGGCTTGTGGCCGTCGGCGTCAAAAATGAACCCCAGATACTTGACTGACTGCAATAAAAACTGGCATTTCTCTGGGCTTAAGCGGAACCCGTTGTCACTGATACGTTGCAGTACCAGTGTCGTGCGTTCCTGTAGCTGTTCTAATGTCGTCGCAACAATTAAAATGTCATCGAGATAAACCGCGATCCCCGGGATACCTGATAGGATGGTATCCATCAGTTGCTGGAAGATAAATGGGGCAGTCTTGACTCCAAAAGGCAGACGGTTATACTGAAACAACCCACGATGAGTGTTGATAGTAAGCAGCTCTCTTGATGCTTCATCTACTCCCACTTGCAAGTAAGCATCAGCTAGATCCAGTTTTGCGAAAAACTTTCCCCGATTCAGCATAGTAAACAGATCTACGGGAACTGGCAAAGGATAATGATGCTGTTCCGGAGCTGCATTGAGACCTGTAGAAAAGTCAGCACATGTACGTATCATGCTGTTGACCTTCTTGATAACAACTATAGGTGCTGCCTAAGCAGAGTAAGAAACGGGTGTAATAACTCCTTGTTGTTGAAGACGATTCAATTCTTCATCTACTGTTGGTAATGTTGCGTAAGGCACGGGTCTTTTGGGGCAGAAAACAGGCTTAGCCCCAGGTTTCAGCCGAAGCGTTGCTTTCGCGGCAGAACATCGACACAATCCAGGTTGGAAAATAGATGCAAACTGCGTCACTAGCTTTCTCGTATATGCTTCAGGGTCATGTGGTTGTGATACTAGGTGGCATATGGTATTTAATGAGACATCAACTAATTTTAGCTGGTTGAACCAATCAAAACCAAGCAAATTTAGATCAGCTGTTGTTGTATAACATACCCCGGTAAACGTCGAATTGTGAAAAGAAACTTTACAATCTAGTTGTCCCAACAAATGTAGGTGATTACCACATGCAGTAAGAGGTTTTTGTGTTGTTGGCACGGTGCGTGGTTTGCCCATTCTGATCCAAGGTTTTCGTGAGAGAATTGTCACGTCAGATGCAGTGTCTATTTGCAATCTAAACGGATGCCCATTAATACTAAGGGTAACGAATTTCCTCTGACCTGGGGATGAGCTTTGACAAAAAGACATCAGGCTCAACGAAGTGGTACAGGATTTATGAACAGTCTTTTTGGTACTTCTGGATCGGTTTGGCTTCCTCTTAAGACAAAACTTAAGATTGGTTTTCTCAGATGTTATTGGCTAGTTTCTATATTATTCTTTTACCCAAAATAAATAATGGTAATTTGATTTTTTCAATGATCAAGAACATGTTAACTTAAGCAATAATAATATACTCACAAGCTTGTTGGACTGTTGAAGATTGTTGTTACAAAGAGACGTTTTAACTGATTTGAGTAACCAGCAGACTGTATTTGTAAGTGTTGTTGTTGATACATTAGTGTTACGGGTTAAATCTGCAGTTAAAATAGCCTGTATCAATGTAAGAATAAAAAATTAAGTTTCTTAATAATACAATTATAATGAGAGAAACTCGAAAATAGGAAGAATAGTTGTTACACGATTTGAATGTGTTCAAGTGAGGAAACAACAACTACATCACCAATCATCCACAGGTCACAGTGTAGAATCAATCACATATATGTATGCACATTAGACCAAGTTGTTAAACCGTATACCCATTCAATCTTTGATGTCCGAGTTCTAAAAAGAATTTAGCTCAATTTAATTTAACGTAAACTTTGGTACACGGAATAATCGCTGTAGCATGAAACTAATCAATAATGATATTTGACGTTTGAATACTGAATTATTGATGCCATGAACAATCTTAAATTGGACGATTAAACCCTTTAAAGACAACTGTCAATTCCAAACTAGATGAGATAAATATGTTTTCTTAATATTCCGATAATTTAGTGAGATCCTCTAGAAATTTCACCTTGTCATGTGATATGCATCAATCGAAAGTAAAACTACAAGGTGATCTTGATCAGCATTAGATTCCCCAACTTATTTTTACATCAACCAAAATTAAACATCACAGAAGGCAGTAGTTGAACAAACACAATACGTGGAGATTCACAACTACATCACCCAACTTATCATCTTTACCAAATGCACTGTCTAATCTGGAAATGAAAATGTGTATTTGAACAACAATGTTGAAATTATTCTTGTGACAGACAGGTCAGTTTTGTGATAGCATTATTAGAAATAAATAACAAGCTGCTAACATCTCTGACAGATATATATATATATATATATATATATATATATATATATATATATATATATATATGCACCACAGTCAGATATGTGCTATGAGGTTGTTCAAAAACGAAAGTACATTTCAAATATGCATCACGATAGTTAAAAGGTTAAGTGTTTCTGTTATAACTTGTGCCCGCCAATGTTAAGACGGTTGGTTTTTCACGTTTACACGTATGGGACGTCAATTTACCTTAGATGAATATCTACACTAGATTCCCTCTTAGTGTCTATTCTACAGGATATCAACACAACTCACATAAAGAACACGTGATTAGCCTGATCACAACGTAAATATATTTCCACACCAAAACCCGACACAATCCAACAACGATGAACAATCAATAATAAGTAACAATAAGAATAGGGGAATATATAACTCATCTGACACCTATCAGACTATTTACAAGTCTGATAGGTGTCAGACAACCAAACATTATCATTCTTACCCACACCAGTTTTAATATATCAGTCAACCAGAAGGCCAAAAGAAAGAGAGCCTACCTGAACAAATAAAGGGTAACCGGCACCACGACGAGTGATACATTCCATTGTATTATGTTTTCCCATACATGATTCTAGTGAAAAATCAATATTTTCTATTACAGTCGAACAATCGTTTGTCGACTTTTCATTTAATGACAAAGTTTGACCAGTGACTGCATTAAGCCAATGAATAGGAATTGTAAAATAGACTGGATGACTACATTTAAAGAAGAAAAAAGTAGAATGAACATGGTAATGAATGAGAACTGAAAAACAAGACGTTAAAACGTATTTTACTCTTTCAAGGTAACTGATGTTTTAAAAAAGAGCACTACAAAATGGAGTCGGTTAAAATACATTTAACAGGAAGATCAGATCCTAACATATATTCCATGGCAATGTGCGTGTGTCAGAAAAGAGTTCATTCAATGATGATGGGATTGGTGTTCTCTCTGAAATTAGAACCGCGTTCTGTTATTGTCAGTGGCAAACACGTTACCACCTCACAGAGAGATATTCACGCAAAGACTAACCTCCATTAGTAGGAAGGAGACTGAGGTACTTACACTCAATGATCTCTGAGCAGCAACCAATGTCACCTAACACAAACAACATCAGTTAACACACGATTACTACTAATAATTATAAATCATTGAATTCTGAAGAGAAGATTGGTTGGTTAGTTGTCATTTCTATGACTAAAATACAGTCACTGTTAAATTGTGCTGCACGCTCATAGAGAGCGAACAAATTTTCATCTAAGGCGGCCTGCTTGAGCATCTGGGCTACCTGTTCCTGCCATCCAGATATTTCAACAAGTTATCTATTTTTCTTTGTTTTAATATATCATTATGTTTATTAATCGCATAACCTATTCTGCTGCGTTTCTGAAAAGTGTACAACCTTTCGTTGTCAGAGTTACAAAAAACTCAATAAGAGACAATGTGGTTGCTGGCAATATACAGCGAAAAGAATGCACATTATTCAGATGTTCATTTACTGAACTGCCAACATCTAACTGGTGATCACGCAACATTTATCGCCAGGACCGACCAAGAAGAAAAAAACGGAAACTTGTTGAAATACTTTACGCTGAGAATTCTATATTGTACCAAAAATATAATATTGAATAAAGCTAATAATAATAATAAATAAATAAAAATTATTCGACTACGTATAAAATACATTTCATCAGTAATAAATATTCAGCATCGAAAGATACTTCTGCTGGCGCAATACAAACGTGCGTCTAAATTCCTGAGTGCAGTTGAGGGTGGGGAGAGTCTCCTCTCCCTCTAGAAATGCTCGCGTATGACTACGCATATATGGACCACTGTCAGAGAAGCCCTATTCATTACCTTTTCGCAGCAGTATCTACAAAACCCCGCAATCTGATAAACAAATATATACAAATGTTATCATCAATGATACAAAATATAATTCATCGACTTACTTTACAAGCGCAGTACAAAAGTTTGTAAATCCAGTTGCACACAGTTCAAATGCCCCACGATGGCGGCAACAAAGTAACTGAGTACAGAAAAATCGGGCAATAGAAAAAATCTATAATGTAGAGTGTAGAAAAGAAAAATAATTTGTACAGTAGAGAAATAATAGATTGAATATTGTTTAACTTCATATGAAACTTAAAGAATTTTCACAATATGTTTTTCAACACATATCATGATGTAAAACTTGTAGGACAATGGTGATTCAGTGTTTGAATTATATCTGAAAAGTCCGAGACATATTCCCGAATTAAGATTACATATCTCAGTGTAGAAATACTGTATACCCCAATTATTTTGTCACAAATTTAGCATTTTAATATTTAATTAACAATAAAATGGCTTGTGTCACAGTGATTTGTTTGTTTCCTAGGCAATACTAGACTGGTCATGTGATGTATCAAAACAACTACGGATGATAAGTGAGAGACATGTGGATGAGCTGTAATCAATGAATTACTCACACCAGGTTAAATAAAGTTACCATGATCAATCTGAACACCACAGATATAAATGAATTAGATCTCCGGATGCAGGGTCTTAGATGTATACTGCTATGAAGTCCCATAGTGTGCAAAACGACCGTCCAGTGCTTCTACATTTTCAGTGGTGATCTAGCTACGATAGGCTCCTTATCTGAAATTGTTAAAACCATACAATCTCCACAAATCCCCCTAAACTGAACGTATATGAATTATACTATTCAGTTTTTAGTGGTAAAAATCTCTAAGAAACTTCTTTGTGCTACACAGTACAGTTAGTGTTGAAAGCTATTTGTAGTTTTTAAAAATTATTGTTACAACTTTTAGTATCTATTGTGAAAGCGTTTAGTATAACTAGTCTTTTGCATTTTACAAATATCTTTATTCTTTATACTAAAATTAAACTTTAAAATACAGCATCTCTGTGGTATTTTTTTCCATCTACGTTCGATACGACGTTCAGCTAACCAAGAATGTCAAGGTTTAACAAGAAACTAGGAAGTTAGTATTTTAGGCATTCAATGTACAAGACGCATATTATATGAACCAGACCAGTTATCTTAACACTGATCAGATTTAAGCTTAATAGAATCTATTACGTCTAACAAAAATATTGAGGATGTAGAAATATTAGCAGACAATATGGGGGATTAAACTTTTTAAATGAATCATCGATTAAGACAGTTCAATGATCTTCATAACCAGTATGGAAAAGTTATGTTATGATTCAGGACTGCAATGAACTATAAACGTTTGCTCTTAAAAGGTAGAAGTAGCAATGTTAAGATTTGTTTTGCATTGTTAGGTTGTTGGATTCATGCATAGAACTATCGGCAATTGATTGGAGATAGACATCAGTGAGTCATTCAGTAACAACGTAGAACTTCGTACGTACTTACATCAGTTCGAGTTGCCACACCACATTAGCACAGAGATGCAGTGGTCGATTCAAATCCCGTAGTAGTAGAGGTAGCAAGAGTATAAGCAGTAATCGGGAAGATTAGGGTTTGGAGATGTTACTTAAAGAGTATAATACAGTGAAATAAATTTGGAAAGAGGAAAAAAGGGACATGAAGAATTCAGAAGATTAGAATTTGAGAGAACACAGAGAGTGGATGCATCTGCGCCATTGCAAACGATTTTGAGCCATGTCATTCAGGGGCTCTAACCATCGGTTGCTATCATCTCGCGGTCCCCAACCAGGTAGTCTACACCTACCAACATAACTCAGTCCACTTGTCAGTGACTTCATGGACTTGTGCCACGTTTTGGTTTGGCCGCCCCTAGCTTTCTTCCAACCTACTCTTATACCACTGAACATAGCACGTCGAGGTAGTCGGTGGTTGGGCATACGTAACACGTGTCCCAGCCATCTCAACCGATGAAGTTTCACTACTTCATCAATTAATTTGCCATCCTTACCTAGTACCCGTTTCCTAACAACTGTGTTACTTACTCGATGGTCCCATGATATACGAGCAATGTTTCGAAGACACCTATGATCGAATACTAGTAACCTACGGATATCCTCTACTCTTACCGGCCATGTTTCACTGCCATAAAGTAGGACGGAACGAACTGCTGCTCAGTAAACCCGTCCTTTGGTTGATAGACGGATATCTCGCCTACGCCATAAATGACGCAAGTTGGCAAAAGCTAGTCGAGCCTTCTGTATCTGTGCTGAGATTTCGTCACACACCAGACCACAAGGGCTGATGAGACTTCCAAGATAAGTGAAGAGGTCGACACTCTCAACTACTTCACTCCCTATCACTAGTTCGGGTGTCGATGTAACCCGATCCTGAAGCAACATTTTGCATTTCGAGGGAGAGAATCGCATCCCGAACATGCTTGCATTGTTGCTTAGAGTGGTCAGAAGACTCTGCATTTTGTCAGCGTCTTCGCCAAATAAAACTATGTCATCTGCATATTCTAAGTCAACAAGTGAACCTCCCAGTAGAAGTTCAACCCCTGTAAATTTAGATGAGGAGAGTGTTATCTCCAAAAGTATGTCGACCACAAAGTTGAACAAGAATGGGGAGAATGGACAGCCCTGACGAACACCACTTGAGGTAATCAATTCTGATGACAGTTCGCCATAAGCTCTCACTCGACCAGTTGTGTTCGAGTAGAGAGCCTTTGCAAGGTTAATGTACTTCTTTGGTACTCCTTTCAGTGACAAACACTGTCATAGAACCTCATGATCAACAGAGTCGAATGCCGCCTTAAGGTCGAGAAATACTACCATTGTGGGGCGTCTGAATGTGTGTCTGTGTTCTAGAACCTGACGTAGTGTGAATATCTGGTCTATACAACCACGTCCATGTCGAAAACCAGCCTGATTTTCTCTAGTCTGCTCTTCACGAGCTTTGATTAGGCGTCGAAGTATTATTAAAGCTAATATTTTAGACACTATATTAGTCAAACTGATTCCTCTGTGATTGTCACAAGAGGACTTTTGTCCTTTCTTATAGACTGGCACAATCAGTGATTGAGACCAGTCAGATGGGATTACGTCCAGTTCCCAAATTCTACCTAAGACCTCGGTTAATCTCATTGCTAATACTGGACCACCATCCTTAAAAATCTCAGGAGTAAACCTGTCAGGGCCTGCTGCTCTCCCTCGTTTCAGATTTCCTATGGCTTTTTCAAATTCGTAAAGAGACGGAGGACCTACATTAACTTGCCATTCAGGTTGACTAGAGATCGTGGGAAACCGAAGTGTGGCTGAAGGCCAGTTGAACTGATCCCTAAAGTGTTCTTTCCATCGATCCAATCTCCTGGATTGAGAATGTATATTATGTCCATCTTTCTCTGAGAGTGTTTCCTTAACAAGTCTGAACAATTGTCTGCTATTACCTATTGCCGCTGCCTTTTCCATCTCTCTTGCTTTCGCTACCCACCACTGTTAGACATATAAGCTATTGAATATACTGATTCGGTGATCTGACATTTGAGCACTCACTGAGAGACTCGAGTTTGATACCTGACGGTGGGACTGTGGATACACACAAGTGAAGAGTTTTGTACTAAAACAAAATAGTTATCCAGCAATCTCTCTTAGAAAGGTAATTCCCGGGGCTGAATTGCTAAACCATGATCAATGAATTTAAACTATACAAGATGTGATGCAATCACCCACAATAGAAGACAGTTGCAAATGGATTGAAGTTAGACATGTATATTATTTGATGCCAGCTCAGTTAAATGTTCTCTAAGAGAATTAAAACTTCTGCGCCCCATGGTCAGCTGGTATCGGGTTGCGCACTGATGGAGAGCTTCATATTAAGGGTGAAAGAGATGTCTAGTTCTCTCTAGCATTCAATAGTTATCTGATCAAAGTCAATCCGTGATATAAACTATGAAAATGAAAGTGTTTATCATATACATCATTAAAAAAAATCAACTCACAAACCTCTTTTGGTTTTATTTGATTACTATCGAATTTATTCAAACCGTGTGAGACAAGTGATATACCCATAAGTAAAGATAATTCACGAACAGAACGCCAACAACATAAAATTAAATATTCTGGATGATTTCGTGTTTTTTCATAAAATTTATACAATTGAGAAGCTTCTTCATCTGCAGTCTTCAAATAGAGGGAACAAGGAATGTTAGAATAAAAATGATTGCGAAACACTCTAATTACAAAAAAGATAAATTAATGATTTTTTATATTAAAAAGCCGATTGATTGCACGAACCATTAGACGAGCAGCAAGTTAACGACTTATTAGGTATATTAAAGAAGTCTTTGTAGTTAAATTGGTAGACACTTTTTTATTTAATTCGTTTCACGCTAAATTTATACAACAAACTAACCACTTCCTCATGATTACTTTATGGACCGCTCAATTTTATTTCTAATTTATAGTCAGGTCAACTTTACTAATTTTAAACATCCTGGTAACTTAATATTGGTAGGTTGCAATAGCTTCTTATTTTTCTCTTCATAAAACACAGGCTATCAGTCATGGAAACTCTGTCTGTAGCTCATCTAGGGTTACGGGTGGTTCCAAGTACAGGTAAAGGAGGAGGGTTGAGTATGGGGTCAGCAAACCCACCCCGTAGAAAACAACCTTGCTAAAAAACGCTAAAGAGAATAAGCAAATTAAACCTTTTAAACGCCGCCCTTAATGTTGAAGGATCTTCATTTAGAAGAATCATGATGCCTCATGATGAAAGTCGATATTCCTAGGAAGTTACGAGGCTGATGCCCATTCAAACAACCAAAACAACAATTAATATGGGTACATGAAATGTCTGGACAGTTTGGGACCAGTCACATAGTCACGGAAATGAGGAGGTACAACTAGGTGGTTCACATGATAAATGGAATTTATTGGACTCTAGCTGGACAGACAATATTAGCTTCGTGAGAGGTACTGTTGTACTCTGATCATGAAGAGGAAAGTGCTCCACACACTTAGAGAGTTGCCCTAATGCCGTTTAAAGAAGCACGAAATGCACTTATAGGATGGGAATTTCGTGGATCTAGAATCATCAAATTACCCTTCAAAACAAAAAGGGAGGGGATCACATAAATGTTATCAAATGTTATGCACCCACCAATGATAGCAATGACGACGATAAAGATCAGTCTTACGAGAGGATACAATCGGTCATAGTGAAGTGCTCAAGAAAGGACCTGACCATCCAGATGGGAGACCTAAACGCCAAAGTCGGGATGGACAACACCGGATATGAAGATATCATGGGACGACATAGACTGTGATAAAGGAACGAGAATGGTGACAGATTTGCAAATTTATGTCCATTCAATAAAATAGTTATAGGAGACACAATATTCCCTCCACGAACGCATACACAGAGCTACATGGGTCTCACTGGACCACACCACGGAGAACCAGATCCACCATATTTTCATCAGTAAAAATTCACAAGGTCAATAGAAGACGTGAGAACCAGGAGAGGAGTTTTAGATCACCACTTGGTGGTTGCCAAGATGAAACTGAAGCTAAAGAAACACTGGGAAACTGTACAAATAGCATTACAAAGGTTCAATACAGCCTTCCTTCGAGATACTAACAAACTCAACGAATTCAAGATAAATCTCAACAACATGTCCCAAGCCTTACACGATCTTCTCGAAGAGGAACCTACTATGAAGAATGACTGGAAAGAGATCAAAGAAGCACTAACTTCAACGTGTCAGGAGGTTCTGGGCCACAAGAAGCATCATAATCAGGAATGGATCTCTATCGAGACCTTGGACAAGACTCAAGAAACGAAGAAGGACAAGGTAGCATTTAACGACAGCCGAACAAGAACAGAAAAAGTCAAGGCACAAGCTAAATATACAGAAGCAAACAAGCAAGTGAAGAAGAGAATTAGAGCTGACAAGCAGAAATGCGTAGAAGAGTTGGAAGTAGACATGGAAAGGATGAATAGTAACTGGAAGCGAGTGGAAAGGATTGTCCAGGACAGAGTTGGATGGAGAGTGCTGGTGGGCGATCTATGCTCCCCTGCGAGGGTAATGGGCGTAATTAAGTAAGTATCCGTCAAGGCGTTTTGAGTTTCGCATGAAAATCCGATAGCCTTTGTTTTAAATCTGGTTGGTGGTTTGTTAGTAAAGTACACTTTTACCGTCTCTTATATTGTTTTTTTTAGATTAATACAGTGAATATTGGGATGTCACCGAATTGAATTCAATATACAGTAACCAGAAAAAGGAAATATGATTGTTGCTCACTTTAATATCATCAATGATTACGTCTTGTTGTGAAGTTAACAAGACACCTTCAGGTGATTCATGTCCAACAACTGGTAGCACAATTTCAGATATACGAAGACCTAGTGAAATTATACGCTCGATAACATTTACTCCATTGATTTGTTTGAACAAGGATCTATAAGTTTTTTTTTCAAATAACAGTAAAATATCTGGTTATTATCACCGGAGTCACTTCTTACTAGAGAATTATAGCAGTATGTCATCTTTTGTTTTTACCTGTCAAGTTCCAACTTGACCTTAATGTTATTTATGTGATAGTATCAAAAGGATTTCTAGTAGGAATTATGTAGGTTTTTCAAAGGCTTTAATATCATGGAGTATGGCCACAGATCTTACGAAATGATATGAATCAGTAACAGTCACAGATACGTTATGGTCTACAAATTATTGTATACAATTTACTGAAAGTTTAAAGTGTAAGTAGCTAGCATGTTACTACCTGGAGGCTTCATAGTTGACTACATAAACTGTGTCTAGAGGGAGGATTCAATTTTAATGTTAGGAGCGCATAGGCAGAAAACTGAATTCAGCTCCTCCTTGTTTGGCCTAACATGGCAAAACCAAATAATTAGATACACAAATAACTGATATATATCACTCAACTAATGAGATATAGGTTGAGAATAAGAGCACAAGCGACTACTTTCAACAGCATATCTCGTCTGTTTTTCCACCTGTATGTGAGTACAAGCATATAGTATGTTTAGACAATCATAGCCTTTCATATACTCAAGTAAGTCAGGAAATAATACAACTATTATGTGCTTTTCTCCGCAACTATTCTGATTTATTTTAAATTCATACATCAATACTGTTTAACATGATGTGATGACGCACAAGTGATTTAGGAAGTAGAGTGTAACTCATTTACCAAGTTCAAACAAACTGTTTATTTGCATGATGGTTAAGGATAGTAAAATGAGTTATAAAAATCGAAATACATGGAAAGTCATTTAAACTTGTTCTGAAACTAATTCTTAGAACCGTTCACATACATCTACATAAAACATTAATACACAATAATTCAGGCGTAGTTAAGCACATAATATACCCTCTTAGGTAGAGTTAAAACCTAACAATCCGAATTCCCAACTTCAGTTGATATTTGTCAATATTATGCAGTCAATCCATTCAGAAATTTCAAAGTTTAAGGATAGTGTTTTTTCCAAAATATTAAAATCCTGGTTTCAGTTTTGTGACGATTATTATTGCACAATAACATCAAAATAAGACGAAATGTATGTAACTGGGGTTTCATGATGATGATAATGATAAATAGTTAGTGTTTCATTCAACATTTTACAGTCCATGACCACATCTCAGGGTAATCTTACGAATGACAATTTAAAAATGAAAATGAAAATACGCATACAGAAATTAAAGAGAAAAACATACTCTGCCTTAATTGATGTGTTACTCCAAATTTGAGCATCGGTAGGCTTTTTATTTTTCTTATTCAATGGTGATGATGAGGTGACACCAATAATAGAACGGATTGTACTAAGTATAGCATAAAATGGTTTATTAGTTGCCACAGACATTAAACCAATTACTGGTAATTTTTCACAAATTGTAATTTGTTCTTGAAGTTGGTTGAGTAGACAATCCATTGCTTGTATAAATTTCTTATCTACAGACGATGAAGATGAAGACAACTGGTTTGATTCATCGACATTCTCATTACCATATATAAGAAAACGTAATATATCGCCAGCAATAGGACTGACATCCGGTTTGGAACTTTGAGCATAGATTTCTAGTGTATCAGTCCATAATTTATTGATATAATTAGGATTCTGAAATGAAAAAAAATGTGATGGAGTAGGAAGATCAATAATTTAGAACTACACTACATAAAGTGTATTATACGTAAACTGAGAGTATGGGAACAACGTTGTGTGGAGTATTTTCTTGAAGAAAGCAGAATCATGCGGCATGTTTAATTAAGTTTTGAAATGAAAACAATGGAGAAAAACGTTACTGTTTTTAGAATGAAACCAAGACATGACATCAGGTTGTGAAACCATTGACTATTAGCATGAGTAATGTTGATAAACGCAAACAATCTAGTTGAGGTACACACGATTATCATGAAAAACTACGGGAGATGTTGATTGACACGGCTCAGAATTGATCAGAGTGGAACAGATGTATTCACTTTCTATTTTCCTTTAGATCTTGGGTTACGGTTGTTTAATATATGCCTTTTTATTCCTTCTCGAAATATATTCTTAATATTTAGTCTTTCATACTATTATTTTTACAGAGATCATTCTGACACCTTTATTGTTCATCTTGTTCACTTCATATTGTTGTGTTAATTTGATGATGAACATTCCTCTGACTCACAAGATCATGAAGTAGTGAACAGAAGCAGGATAACTTAAATGTATCCTAGTGAGACTTGATGTTTGGAATCAAAACGAATCTGGTTTGTCAGTGACTCATGAAACTTAACTTGCGTCATTAAAACATACAGATGATTTCACTGTAATCTCAGCAAAACAGTCACTATATTTTGATATAAAAGAATGGATTTTTCATGATATTTTAGATATTTCAGGACGTCTAGGCTACACCTTAACTTACTGTTCTATTTTATTTGGATATATTGGGTTAGTTAGTCATGATCATAAGATGGGACCAATAGACATTTAAAATGACAACTTGAATAGAAAACTTTACAAAACATGCAACATTGACTGCATTCTATTCGTAATTAAAAATATCATGGATTTCAAATGATTGTCTGTTGAGAGTCAATTTATAAATAAGCGTTCTACATACATATGAACTTCAATAAGTCGAAATACATATCTCAAATGACTGACACGGCACTACAACACGTTACATTAAACAGATGATTTCTGATGGTAAAGTACAGGTGAACTGTACATAGTTGCATTCAGCATCTTATTGATAAGGTAACATAATAGAACTATGATTACATTGATCAATATTGGCTTTATTAATAAATGAAGTACATAAGTATCTTTATTATTCAAAGTTATTTTGCCGATGTGTACTTGAAGTTCACCTGAAATAAGATCTGCATTCACGAGGTTTGTTGATAGAACGGTTTATCCACCTCTATTCTATCCTCTGATCAGTTATAGGTATACAAAAGGGTACTTACAAGCTCTTTTACGGCATTTAATTATTGTATCATTCATTAGTACTAGTGTTTTAAAATAAACAACATTTAATTTTCATGAATTACTGATATTTTAATGGAGCTATATTTCATGATTAATTGTTTGGACCATTTACATGTATGCTAGATAGTAATTATTTAGTTCTTTGTAGGTTGGGCATGGAGACGACTTCGATAAAATTCGAACCACTTCAAAAATAAAGGCTGTTACTTCAGTATCCTAATTTACAATCATCTTTGGAGACTTATTCTTTTTTCTGTCACTTCTAATTAGGATTAATTTTAATTGAATGTAGTTGAGTCTCGGCTCTTATGTTCCACTTCTTCTACTTTATCTTGAATATTGTTGAATTTAAATAGCGCTATATGTTCTAAGCAAGTAGCTAACTAATATAATAACGAATTACACAGAAGCACGAACACATATGCACTAAACTTAATAGTATTAAATATGCACACAAGAACAGGCATTGCTTGTTTCAATAATTATGAGTAGCATCGTTTGGGAAACGGTTAAAAAAAGACAAGCTTACAAGTTGTTTTAAAACATCCAATCTCAACAGTATTTTCACAGTATAATCTCGGTCAACATCATATCGACTGCATAAACCAGTCAAAAAGAGAAAGAACAGTTGTGACGTTGAGTGATCGATTGGTTTAAATTTTTCATCGGTAAATGAAGGTATTGTATATACATTTTGAGTTGCTTTAATTAAACAACTCATAATTTGTGCCATGAACTCTTCAGAATTTAAAACAAATTGATAATGAGTTACATAATTATTATTATTATTTACAAAAAGGAAAACATGACCAATTAAAAATGCATATGAGTTGATTACAAATTGTTGATATTTATCATAAACATATGAATTTTAAGTTGCGGATTTCTTGTTCACTGCATTTACACTGTTACAATCATGGATCATTGTAGACATAACGAAAATATATTTATTTTCATTTCAGGACAAACTCTCATACCCAAAAGTAAATTTATATGGTTGGTAGAACGACGTAAGTAGGGTTTAAGTTTGGTAACATATAATTGAGTACAAAGATGATAAGTATTCCCGTCTTACAACACCATCTTAGACAGACTCAACCTATTTTATGCATACTGTTAAAAGTGGCTTTCAAATGGTATAAAGTTTGCTGATGTTAAGATTGAGTGATTAAATCGCGAAAATGATCCATTTCTTACATGATACCAGCTTACATAGTCTAGTCAATAGCTAGCCTAATCACTGTCTTTACATAGCAAACGTTTTCCTGGATAAGTGAGACAATGGCAGTGGATGTCCACTGATTGAACCCGCTTGATGCATAAGGATAGTTTATTTTGGAGAGTTAGAAAACATTGATTCTAAATAGATGGTTTAGATTCCAAGGTTGATATACAGTTACTTTATTGTTTGAGGATATCAGTCAGAAAATAAAGTGTGAACCTATCGTGCAACATAACACAGCGACATACTAAGTGTTTACCTTATTAACAAATATGTTGACTGAGTGTATCACACCAAAAATTACATCATAAAAGTTACAAAATAAAAATGTTACCTGAATAATCATCGGTATAAAAAACAGAATGAAAGCATTCAACAACTGTGTATAATCCAGCTAAGCCTAATGATAGACGAGATGCTGGTGATCCAGGATAAATACATGTCATCAAGATATGAACCATTTCAACATGAAACGACTGAAGAAAAAGAACAGTAGGATGAGCATTTTTCTTTTTGAAAACACCGACGTGAACATATATATATATATATAGGCTGGACAATGCTAAGCATATTATGCGCTTGTGATGACATGGTCTCTTAAAGTCAAACGGTAAGTGAAGAATTATAAAGGAGGTGGGCTACTGAAGAAAATCGACTGTCTACCAGTCCAACGTCTCAGAATACATGTCTTTGTTTGGGTCGAAAAAGATGGTCGTATGTATACCCATAATATAAGTACATTGTATTTTCGTTCGGCAATTAAAGCTTTACACTGATTTCAGTCTTCTCACTTACATAGTCGGTTTAGTACAGAGTAAGAGATGCATAATGTGACCGAATCGGGTAGTAGAATACAACAGTTACATTTATGAGGTTTCATACATTATTAGTATAGATTTGTGAAAATTGATAGTTTTTAGTTTATACCATCGATTGACTTGGCTAGGTAAATATTGAAAACTATGAAGTACTTGAAAGTTTTTCGCCTTAGTATAAAGCTGCACAGAACTATACACTCACAACTCCACAATGGACAAAACATAAAATCTTTCAGTTAGAATGAAAACTACTTTCAAACAGTACGAGGTCTGAACAGTACAGTTCGTTGTAAAACCGAAACCTATGGAGTCAACCGTGTTCGCATTGAGACAGGAGCACACCAATGATATATGATAACGATAATATCGTGACTACTTACAAGCACGTAAACCAGTCAATTATTAGAGGACGGTTCAGTGGTTAAGGTGTTCGACTATCATCCTAAGCTCGAACCCTGCTTCACCTACTCCGTTTTGATAACTAAGTAGTATAATTAAGCCTGATGCTTATAGAATGGCTCTTAGCCAAGTACACGAATCTATACATGTTAAACGGATTTACAAATATTGAAACCCTATTGTGGTCACAGCAAAACCTGTGCATTCTATGCAGAAACTTGTGTTTGGCTGTAGATGTTCACATAAATGAAAAAACTAAACAAGGTGACAGAACAGAAACATCGTTGTAAGTTGAAGAATGAACTGATTGTGTTGAAAAGAGACTAAAAACAGATCAAAGATCGTGACATAGAAAACATGGAAATATTTAAATTTATCTCAAGCTAATTTAATAGTTGAGTTCATGAGTCAATTGAAGCTGGATCGCTATAAAAAACCCGAAACCACTGGACGACCGTTTCGTCCTAGTATGGGACTTCTCGATAGTGCACATCCACGATCTCGCCCCGCTGGATTCGAACCCAGGTCCTATCGGTCTCACGCTAATTATTATATTATTATTGTTGATTAGCACTATAAATTTATTTTTAAAAATCCACAACACCTCATGCAACTTACTTTAAGATTATTTAAATTGGTATCGTTTGTTTCACGTTTCATAATTGGAAGTGTATGCAACAAAATCTGCCAGTGCAATAAATTTAATAAAACATAGTGATTTCATCAAAAATATTATTTTCAGATATCAATGTAAATATTCATTGATAATTATTTTGCAAAATACATTAACATATAACAGCTGATTCAATCTATTCTCAATATCTTTTGTTGGTGACTAACTGAAATTCATACAAATTATAAACTTCTTAACAAACTGTCATATTTATATAACAGGATAATTTACTATGATCTAATGACTGAGGTATGTGCTCAACTGTAAATATTCAATCAACATACGTATTCTGTCTTATAAATTTGATAAATGAAGTCATGAACGCATTACTTTACAAAATTTTTCATTACATTAGTCTTGAACTTTCTCAAAATATTTTTTTCATTTGTGGTATAAACAATATTTATCACATCCACGATTCATGCTTTTTGAAGGATTACTAGAAGTCCTCAAGGAAATAAAGTTCGTTAGCTGGCCTCATAGTTTTAATACTCATCAACTGTCGGTCTTGTACGATCATTTTGCATTTGGAGCACGAAACCAATCTTGAGAGATTGATTCTACACTGCAACGGTCCACCGCCACATTTTTGCTCCCAATTGTTTTGGTACGGCTGACCGTCGGAAGTTCTCACTTGGTTACGCGTATACAATTACCGTCGGGTAAATCCTACTCACTGACTTCTCGCAGTGGGAGTGTTATTTATAAAATTGAGAGGATAAAAAGCGAGTGACCGACGCTTTAACCGGGTTGGTGGATATGAAGGGGAAAACCCTGATCCCAAACCAATGACGCACTTGGGCTCTCTTTGTGAGGAAACAAAAGGCGTATGAACCTATTCTTGGTCACCGGTTATCATAGAATTGTATCTCTTAATGTTGTTCCACTGCCCTATGGATTAGACCTCTAGATCAAAGACTTGGGCTGTGGCCCCCTAAGGAAACCACCTGCTTCGGTTTGGGAGGCCTGGCAGTACTCCAGCTTTCACATATATCGAGTGATTTGTGTGGCGCATACAAATACAAAACAGCCTCAGTAGCTTAAGTCAGTGCATTTATTGGACAAATACTGTTTAAGATAGAAGAATGGGAAACAGGAAGAAACACAAACAAACTTACATCTTTAATTGCACTGACAATTTGGCCGTGTATACGCTTTGAATTTGGCCACAAATCGTGTCTGAGATAATTAAGAAACATTTCCAATTTTTCATTTGATAAGATCATTTTTTGTTTGGATTTTGTAATTAAACTTACTAAAACATTTAAAGCTGTAAGACGTAACTTGAATTTCGAATAAAAAGCAATTAGATAAAAAAACTTAGAAATTTCTTGTGTATTCAGATGTAAAATAAAATTGTAAACAGATAACTTTAAGTAGAGGACATTACCACGATTCCGGTTTAGTTTTGATTGTCATATGATATTCCTTACTATTTAGTTAGTGAAATGTTTACCACATAAAATCAGGATAATAAAATATGGATTACTGTATGATAACTCAGTAGTTCGAACGGTTAAGTGTTAACCACGAAACCCGACAATCCTGAGTTTGATATCCCGTGGGATCCTAGATATCCACTTCCATATTAGAACGAAACAGTTGTACATTGTTTCCTGGTTTCTAATGATTACCCCACTAAGGTCTATATTCATGATGTAAAAGTACAAAGACACTTAATATGAACACGAAATTCAAAGAAAATTCCGAAACAGAGGACTGATATAGTTTAGAAAGTAATGAGAAGCCAATATTCCCTCTTTGAAAATACGAATTAGTGCCGTGTTTGTTTGCGGAAAACAGAGAACACTAAATCTGTTGTGCAGAGTTTTTGAACGATGATGAAAGATTAATTGGGTGAAGTTTGTATAATGATAAAGTAAATTAATACATCTCATTTTAATGTTAGTCATCAGTAATCGTTAATTAGTTCGACTTTCAGCCACTAAATCGTAGGTTCGAACACTGTTCGGACTTGAATCTTTGCTGGAGATAGCATGGATAGTAGAGGTCATTGTTATTAAAAATTAGTCACTGCACAAATGATTGGCTTTTATATCCATCATAAAACAATAATAACCGATTCTATCATTTTTAGGCTACTTATATTATTGGACGGCAAGTGTGAGTGAGAAAGCGGCAGACGTAAAAATATTATATATATATATATATATATATATATATATATATATATATATATATATATATATATATATATATATATATATATATATATATATATATATATATATATATATATATATATATATTATATGCGTATGTGCACAGAGTTACATAATATGCACTTACCTGATTATCATATGAGCGAAGACATGATGTTAAGAAATTTAACGACAAGTATTCACAACAGTCAGTTTTCATTCCATTAAATGATAAAAGATGATAACAAGTTAGTAGGAACGTAGGCAAGTCAGTATTCATTTTTACTGTTGCGAAACAAACAAAAGTAAAACTATTGTGTGCGTGAAATTTTTTATTTAAAGACTTGAAAAAAATGGAGATTCTCATAATACAAACCTTATGAGATTGTGACTTTTTGATTTAAAACACATTCCATTTTATATGCAATTGATTGGTCACTGAATAGTGGCCAATATCATGTTTGTCTAGATTTTTAGAGCTGATCGAATTCTATCGATCAAGTTTTAATAGTGTAGTCACTAGTCTAAGTGATTCCACATGGAGGGTAATATTTCAGGATGCTACGTGGTTGGGGGTATTAAGGAAGAGACGATGCTTGAAATAGGTTTCACACTAGTTAGCCATTAAGGAAAGTGGTGCTTCTTGAAGGATTCAGACCAGCACCATCCACATTTAGTAGACTGAATAACTCAGTGGTACTGTAGTGAACGAAACCTCAAGTGGGGAAAACCATTTGTTCTTCAACATAAAATTGCTGACTGCCTTCGTAAAGTATGGAAACCATACATTAAATGCATTATTTGCACATCTTCCTTCGGTTATCCATTATGTGCCTCATGATTCTTTCAATTTCTTTTTTACCACAGTTGCTCTCTGTCTCCCTATTTGTTTTGTTTTTCAATTCAATCTTCGTAATCTTCTGCTAGCAGGCATTCCACTTCCGGTTGCTGCTAACTACTACTTACATAAGAAGGATGCACCACAGTAGCATATCAGACTGTGAAACTGTGGGATGAGAGCTTGAGTCAACCAAGGAATATCAGTTTTCTCTATATTCCAAGTACATCTCCGACCACCTAACAGTTGTCAGCCTGCCCTAAATGTAAGACCAAGCATATATATATATCAGTTCAATGTTGGTTACATTTCACATCAGCATGGTGAGGAAAGAAAATTTACAAAATGTGGAGCAAAAAGCTGTCGTACGTTAAATATCGGGAACGAAGTTTAAAAAATGAAGTAAATAAGATTACAAGTATCAGCGTTACCTAACTGCCATGTCGTTAACGGCATTCACAACAAGTGACTGAAATTTTCTCGTAGAGAAAAAGCCACGAAAGATTCAATTCCTAAGAATTCTCAGTGTACTGACAGCAGAATACCATGTTTGGTGGTTGAAGAAAAGCCTGACAAGTAACTACTCAAACATCATTTTACTCGGCAACGGTTTAAATTCTCATTAACCAACCTGAGAAATTTCGGTATTCAGTCGGTATATTATATATATATATACAACTACCCTCCATTCCCAGACAGCGTGAATGGAACATTGAAGTAGGTCCCCCGACTCTTGCTGAAGTTCAAAAGGCTATAGTTAATCTGAAACGAGGAAGGGCAGCTGGTCCAGATGGACTGGCTCCAGAGGTCTTTAAGGATGGTGGTCCAATTTTAGCGATTAAGTTGACTAATATTTTAGCTAAGATCTGGGAATTAGACTTTATCCCATCTGACTGGTCGCAATCACTTATCGTCCCAATATATAAGAAAGGGTCAAAATCATCCTGTGACAACCACAGAGGGATCAGTTTAACAAACATAGTATCTAAAATACTGGCCTCGATAATTATCAAACGCCTAACTAAGACTCGTGAACTACAAACTCGAGAGAACCAAGCTGGCTTTAGACCTGGTCGTGGCTGCATCGACCACATATTCACCATTAGTCAGGTTCTAGAACACAGGCATACCTATCGGCGTCCGACGATGGTGGTATTTCTCGACTTAAAAGCAGCATTTGACTCGGTAGACCGCGAGACTCTGTGGCAGTGTCTGTCATTGAAAGGCGTACCTCAGAAGTACATAAACCTTGTGAAGGCTCTTTACTCGAACACTACTAGTCGAGTCAGGGCTTATGGCGAACTGTCATCTACTTTTGCAACCTCAAGTGGTGTCCGTCAAGGCTGTCCACTTTCTCCATTTCTGTTCAACTTGATCATAGACCTATTGATGGAAATAACACTCTCGTCGACTGAATTCTCGGGTATTGATCTCCTTCCAGGAGGTCCACTTATCGACTTAGAATACGCAGATGACATAGTCCTGTTTGGTGAAGACGCTGACAAAATGCAGAGTCTTCTGGCAGCACTAAGCAACAATGCCAGAATGTTTGGGATGCGCTTCTCTCCCTCTAAATGCAAGTTGTTGCTTCAGGACTGGTCTGGGTCAACACCTGAACTAAGGATAGGGAGTGAAGTAGTTGAACGCGTTGACAACTTCACTTATCTTGGAAGTCTGATCAGCCCTAATGGGTTGGTGTCTGACGAAATCTCAGCACGGATTCGAAAAGCTCGTTTGGCTTTTGCCAACTTACGTCATCTTTGGCGAAGGCGAGATATCCGTCTATCAATAAAAGGACGGGTATACTGAGCGGCAGTCCGTTCTGTTTTAATTTACGGCAGCGAAACATGGCCATTAAGAGTAGAAGACACTCGTAAGCTATTAGTATTTGACCACAGATGCCTTAGAAATATTGCTGGCGTCTGCTGGGATCACCAGGTAAGTAATAGTGAGGTTAGACGCAGGGTATTAGGGAATGATGGTAAATCAGTTGATGAGGTTATGAATCTTCATCGACTGAGATGGTTGGGCCACGTATTACGTATGCCTGAACACCGATTACCACGACGTGCAATGCTAACCGGGGTAGGGGATGGTTGGAAGAAAGTTAGGGGCGGCCAAACCAAAACGTGGCATCAGTGCCTGAAGTCACTAACTTCTAGTCTGAGCCATGTTGGTAGATGCAGACTACTTGGTTGGGGTCCGCGTGACTTTCGTAACCAATGGTTGGAGACTCTTGGTGACATGGCTCAGAATCGATCACAATGGCGTCGGTGTATACACTCCCTGTCTTCTTTTAAACTAAGAGACTAAAATCACTTCATTCTTTCTGTCTACGAACTAATTCTTTCTTCCTATACTATATCCTTATTGCAACCTTTGACCTAACCACTCCTATGAATCCGCTGTTCATCTTGCTGTGCTAATGAGGTATGGCAACCTGGACCGATGCACATATGTGCCTGGTCCTACGTTGTAGCTGACTGACTGACTGATATATATATATATATATATATATATATATATATATATATATATATATATATATATATATATATATACGTTGGAGATAAATATGACATTACTTAATGACTGTTCAAACTGAATTAGGATAGAATAGATTTTCCATACAGAATCCCTAGTGTTTAGATCGTCAAAATTCTAGAATTAGCAAACAATAGAAAAAAGTTAAAATAGAGAGCATCAGAAACAAAAGAAAACAACTACCTGAGTCACTGTTGCAACATTTTACCAGCAATTCCAACAATTTAGGATTGGTTTTCACTAAACTGGGTAGAATATTCTAATGCCAAAAAGAAACAGAAACAAAATAAATCTAGTTGAGAAAGTTTTAGTGAGGATTGGTTACATTGGTAGGACGGATTGATCTTAGTTAGGATACTATGTTTGGAATGAAACAGTTGTCACCAATATTAGTAGATAACCATCAAGATATATCGCAAATTGATCGAAACCAAAATTTTATTGTTGGGTAAAGTGCTTTTGGTGAGGCCTGAAGGTCTTGGGTTTGATCTCTGGTAAGTTTTAGATGTGCACTGTAACTGATGTGTCCTATACTGCCCAGTGTACCCACTGATTTCCAATAGCATTCTAACTCAGATCAAACTACGAAGGGAAATAAATCATTTAACTACTAATGACTTTAATTTTATTGAACAATGTACTATTTTTTTTTAAAGTGAATGGATAAGTCTTAATGACTTATTCTTCAGAATTAGTTTCGAAATTGACGGTAGTTAATTATTGTTTTATTTACAAAATATACTACTATGAAGGAAATAAATACATTAAATGCAACACCTAGTATTCTTTAGGGCCTTTGTAAAAATATTTGCGACAATCGCTTAGTTGCATAGTTGAGAAGCACTTAGTTTATTGTAGTATACCGAATAGGCATATTTCTAGCAAAAAACGTCAACTGGCTTTCGAAAATAGATTATAATAAGGCTCTTTAGTCAAAAATCTTTTAGCATTTTATTAATCAGGTTTATTACTAACAATCCACTTTCATAAAATGGGTATGACAACATGTCACCAACTATAATGATTTAGAATTAAACCTATGCAGAGCAGTCAACTATGAACTCTGATGAAAAGAGACCATATTGTTATTAATGTGGACAAAAGTAAACTATACTGATGAGCTGGTCAGTTTTAGAACAGAGAATCTTGGATTTACGTGAGAAATTTGAAGCGCAATGATGGATGGCTGGTAACGTAACAAGAGCTAAGTAAAACCTAGCAATATTTTGCTACCAAGAAGCTCAAAATTATTAAACATGACAAGATTAAAGAACAGGAATAGACTTGGGCAATGTTTAAGATGACAATGGAAAAAGTGATTAATTATTTATTTAAAGGGGAGATAATAGGAAACAAATGGGGTTAAAATGTACATAACATGTTAAAATGACTTATAAACTTTCCACGGCAACTTAAACGATTTCAAGGCTTCAATTTGAAGAACTATCTGCATATGCGTGTTTATTATTGTGAAGCATTTTCTCATTGCAACTCCAACCTTAACCCTATTATTTTCCCATTGATTATAATGAATAATTTAACATGTAAACATTTGTTTATCACTTTAAAACTTTGATAACTAAGCGTTGTCTTTTAACTGGCTGATCAGTTGTTCTAGGTCAGTGGTATAGTTCACTTTTGCTATTCATGTGAATTTAAAACAAAGAATATACGGATCAGTGATACAAAGAAAACTTTTACCTGAATAACTGTAGAATGAAATGTTTCGTTAGAGTTACGAATAAAGGTATCGACTAAACCAGATAACCATACATAAATTAATGGGTCATTCTCAGTGTACAAGTTGTGCGTAATTAATGTATACAATTCTGAAATCTATGTAGGTAAATAATAAGACATACATGTATAATCTTTAAATTACAATAAAATAGTCAATGTAATTATTTTAAGGCTTTTTTTTCTTGTGAAACCTTTCCTCCACAAATGTTTATTTCGTAATAATTTAAAGTCATGTATTGAAATTATAAATTAACTATTTTTTTCTTTCTAAGAAAGGATAGGCCAAATCATTTACCGAATACGTGTTTATGCATTTGCCTTGAAGTGTCATTTAGTTGGCATGAGGGGGTTAGTGAAATTAAAAAGCTTCGTTTTCTACTTCATTAACACGTTTGCCAGGTATATATTAGTCTACTTGGCTTTCAACCACACTCCTGGTATGAAAGATAGTGATACTACCTAGTCGTTCAAAAAGAAGTGAGGTGTTCGAACCTGCAATCTGATAATTGGATTGTGACTGAACTAATAAGCTATTGTTCATTTTTGATCTGACCAAGACATTCTCCATAGTTCTGAATGCTTACAATGCATTCTTTCTTGATGTGCAGATCATCGATGTGTACAGGTTACGCATCCTGTAGGAATCACTACGTCAATACATCTAAACAGAATTACACCCGTTGTTCTTCTTTAATCCGGTTGCATGGAAGCAAAGTATGAAAGGTGAATGAACCGAGTCGTATAAATAATTACATTAATGATGTTCTACAGATTTTTATTTGTTCATTGAAGAAACATGACTGAACAGTTATAATCCACAATTCTGATACCACGACGGTTACATTGATGACAAGTCTGCTCAAACAGACAAACATATTAGCGTAGCATCTTTGATAAGTGTATAAATTCAAGTTTTTAAATTCGGGACAGAACTGAAGAGAATCCATTAAAAAAAGCCAAATGAATAATCCACTGAGAAGAGCACTATTTTCATCATATTACTGATACATACGAAAAAACTTCCTTTTTGAAAATGAAGTGGAACTATATCTTACGATAGCAGATACATTGTTTTTGGTTTGAGGGTCACATTCTAACTGGTAGAGAAAGTACAGTTGAACTATAGGGTACTATGTAAAAATGACAAACCGGATAATGAGACTGAATCCTAATCGACTGAAGGGACTGAGACGTATGATATGTATCATCAAACACTGCCTATCTCAACATGCAACTATGAAATAGAAGCAAGTTACAAGAAAGATAGGAGTCAGACCACAATGTGGAATCAGTCCATGAAGACATTGACTGTTGGTATGAACTGTGCTGGTAGATCCAGACCATCTGGTTGAGGTCTGGGAGATAACTGAGATTAGTGGTTAGAGACTTTAAATGACAACCCAGAATTGTTGAAAATGGTGTAGATGTATTGGCTCCTTTTTCTTCCACTAGATCTTGAGTTTTAATACTCCCTAATACTTATCTTCACATTTTATCTTTAGGAATCATTTTTTCAATGTTTAGTTTTTCTTACCATCACTGTTATTATAATGATTTGATTCATTTACTATACATTATATTAATTTCCCTGAATGCTAATGTAATTTGGCGACTTGAGCTCATATTGCTTATGACTTGCTATATAAATGTTGCATTGGATGTAAACAAGTGATTTAACGTATGGTTAGCGGGAAGGTTTCTTTCAACGTACAACTCAATTAAGATACGGATAAGGATAGTAAAACATCACTCATGCGAAATTATTTAGAATTCCATAGATACACTATACAATAAATGAGACATTAACTTTGTGATTAAAATAAACTTGAACTCTGCATTATCTACTCCGGTTTGAGCACCCCGGAGGTGGTATTCCCAGCTTTTGTACAATGTACCTTAAATCCTGAGAACATAAGCCGGAATAGTTGTTAAATGACATCTATTAACTTTAAACTGCAACTTAATGACTGCAAAGTTGAAGTACTTTTAGTATCTACACTTTATTATTTGATGTCTTTTATCTCATAAAGCTGGAATTATCTTCAACTACAAGTGAACAAAGCATGGCAACAGTGAATGCTTACTACCCTGCCGAGGATTGAAGTCAAGAACGTCAAGCTCTTGCGACGATCACTTAGTTAATAGAACTATTAATTCAGCCGCGGCTTAGTGCCTAAGGCATTTTCAACTATCAGATGGTAGGTTCGAGCACGACTACAACTACTTTGGTTTGAACAGTCATGTAGAATCACTAACCCTCGAGTGCACAGAATCATTTTAACTTAAAGCCAGGTATGTGAATTTGTACTTGATTAGTGTATTAAATCATCAAACAAAACATGAATATATAGTTTTATTCAGTTGTACACACCTGATCGAACTTCTTAACGAAAGTAGTGAATAAAAATTCAGCACTAGGAAATATGGTAAACCGGTCAACTGGTTTCAGTAAACTGTTTTCTTCTTAAAAATCATTGATCACACACAAACGTGCCTCATTACGAAGGCAATCTTACATCAATTTTGAATTTAGAAAATAACATCACAAGAATGGTAAGTGGAACAACTAACTTACTTCTGACGCCAAGTTAGGATCATCGGCAATCTTCATCGATCCTGAAACAATTCTTCCACAAATTTCTAAATTAGTGTCATTAACAAATGGCTGAAAAACAGAATCCAAAGAGTGCAACAAATTGATTGTCCTATACACACGAGTCTTAGACATACAGCGGATGAATCGAGTTAACATAGCAATTGTTCCGCGACTGTAACATGAATCACTCACTAACTGATTTAAAATTTCATTCAAATAACCACAAGATATTTTTGACTTGTTATCAGATATTCTTGACTGGCGACATTCTGAAATAAATATTTAGTCACGTGACAATAAATGGAACGCAGCTCAAATTACCGTCACAATACTTCAAATGAAAAAATATGATATTCTCAATTGTATCTAAAGCGGAATATCGAATAGCCTGAATAGAAATAGAGAATTGAAATGATCTATTTAAAAACAAACGTCTATGTAACTGCTTCTCATGTCTATACAATACGTTAGAAGTGGACTCGTGAATACATTAAATTGTTCTATATTTCTTTCCACATCATCCTCATAGTGATTTAATAAATTCTTTCTAAAATAAAACACCTGTTTATACAAATAAAAAGATAGACTTGGACCAATTGTAAACTATTTTCGATTGAAGTAAATTAGTAACTGAATCATTCTGATTAAACTTTCTTAGCAGATGATCATTTGGATCAACAGAAAATCCAGCCATAGACAGAACATACAAACTTATGTTTCCATAATTCTCGTAATTACAAAACCAATCAGTTGTAGATAGGATCCCAACCAGTGCTAGTAGAATTGCTAATTGAGCTCGCGAATTACTACTATGAAATAATTGGAATAAAAAAGACAGATTCCCTGTGATATCTGACGAAGGTGAATTCTCGGATTGATTAAGCACAGCCAATATCTAAAATAAACCCAAATTAGTAAACATAATTTCATCCAAACTTCAGCCAAGTAATTTTTCCTTTCCAATTTAACAATATTTATGAATAAGATTGCATAGCTTATAAGGCACTCAACATTAGTGGAACCTGAAATTCAGACCACTAGAAAAAAATATCTTAACATACCACAAATTATTGATTTGATCTGGTCGATGGCTTCCATGAAAAATACATATGAATTAGATGGCGCATGTGAGTGCGTTAAACAATAGACCATAAGTTTTGCACAGTTACTTAGAACAGAATCGCATTGTTTGCCTTGAACACAACTGTTTTCCGTCGTGTCTTTGAAAACTCTTAAAAGGTATTTGATAACTAGGGATAGAAAAACAATTTCGTTTAATTTGTAAGGTTACTCTGATCTATGGCTTTTTTATCCAACAATGTAGCTAAAGATATAATTTATCATGAACAGAGGAATTTTGGTATAAATTACCCGTTTGAATACAGAAATCCAAAAAAGCCAACTGCAGCTTTCTGTTAGGAAGTTTAGAACACAGATACAACAACGCATCTATCCAATTCGTAGTAAGTACCATCTCACTAAATAAAAAAAGTATTTAAGTGGGTAATTATATTGTACCTTGAAATCTCGAAGCAGCATCTAACACCTTCTTTGGCACAAAATGCGCTGAATTTCTTTTCAATCAAGTTGCGGATATAACTTTGTTGATCAGACATTTTATAAAGGCTTCACTAAAATTAGACAGTAATTTTAAAAAAAGGTTAATTATGTTATATGGAACACCACGAAAAATTTATTTTCGCATTAAATCAATTTATTTGTTATAATTGACATATCAACTGTTTTGGCACCGATTTCCGAGTCCATAACATCAGTAAAATAATTCTTAAAACTAACTAAAGTATCTCAGTGAAAAATACACATTTTGGGTGAAACTCTAATTTATGGACGACCTTTGAACGAATTTTTAAGGGACCTTGAGGACATTAGCCAATCAGAAGAGAGCTAGTATAAAGTAAAAATATATTATAAAAGAGTGATGAATTACAATGGATATTCTTCTTTTACATTATTTGAGAACTTGTTGAGGTTTGATATAGATTCAGAAGTTTTGAAATCATAGTGCATGCGGTATAAGAACTCGTTCATATGACTCTATAATAATCGTCCTCTGGAGCCGTGGTAAGGTTTTAAAAAATACTTCAGCCTAGACCACATGCCCTCAATGTTGTTTGTATGGACCCCCCGTCGTCGGATCAAAGAAATAACGTTTGTACACCACAACATGATGCACAAAACCAAGTCTGGAGAGGCATCTATACGCTTTCCAAACATCGGTATAGCCGCAGCTAGTGTTACTGGAGACTTTATGATCCAATTTGCAACGATTATCATGGTTTGTCTTAGCCTTAGCTGTGACCGGGTAGAAAAGTGACAGTTCGAGCAGATTTTTTCTACAACATATAGTACAACGAAATACAATATCGCGGCAGTCTGCACATCGTGCTGCGGTCATTTAATTGCCGCAGTCACAGACACAGGAACTTCCTAATAGTCCCATCTGCTGTAGTCTCTCAACGATCACCTATTCTTTATAATCTGCTGTAAAACGATCGAATGTTAGCATCTCGCACTGAACGTAGCGCCATGACCTTGAAATTCCTTAGACGCTTCTGATTGGCTCGTCCATAAATTAGTCCTACCACATTTTGATACTATATATCGAAGCGTAAATCGCAGACGGTAACTGTAATCTGTACACCATTCTGGATGAAGCTGGTTTTAAAATTACTTGAATTCAGATTAGAATAGTGAAACCAAACTTCTCATCTAGAGCTTAGATAGCGTTAGTTTGTAAACAACACTGAATACACGATAATACTCGTGACTACAATTACCGAGGTTAATTTATGATGTTTAAAAAAAGCATGCATGATTAATACCTCTAAACTTTGTGTATTTTTACGCTCAGCATTACAAATAAACTACTCAACGTAATCACACAAAAACAATATTGTTTGAAGCTAACGACTTATTTTCTCGTGTCTGATTGACGCACTAAAACAAAACCTCAAATACAATAGACTATTCGTGACCGAAAGTAGTTATTTTATTAAAATTAATATTTCGTGATTGTAGTTCAACATTTCAAGGCTTAATAATGCAATAGTGATGAAATGTTATTCTGGATTTATGCGCAACAATATTTTAGGGATTTACCCGAAAATTTCCCTAAACATTGCGGAAGGTAATTAAACTTCAGGGACTTCCCTAAAATTTCCCCAAAGTTGGAAGCTTGGGATAAATTGGTTTTACCTCGAAAACAAGTTGAGGCAAAGTGGAGAGTATTCAAATATGCAGCTGAAAAGTAATCACCTGTTAAGAAAGCATATACGTGAGATTCCATAAAATCTGTGAAACTAGACGATCTGTGAGGTGAAAACAAAAATGTACTGTAAAGCATGAATACTAATTGAACGGACAACCTTTGTAGCACGTTGTATAAGTGTTTATTCGGAAGCTGGAGCTATCTGAAACAACAACACCAGTCGGAACTGGTAACTGCCTCCGAAGTAAGAACGCGGCGCACTGACACAAGAGAGAGATATTTGAAAAACTGAAAGATGTGGTCATACTACAAGAGGGAAAACTTATTACAAAATAGTTTTATCTTATGGTGACATATATTCAGTGATTTTTGTAACAACAAATATAAAAACCACATTTTTTCTCTAATTTGTCACTTTATTTGTAACCACATTTTATTCAATATCTGTTGTTTTGCTGTATCACTTGTTAAAAAAGACGACGATAATTGTTTCGATGAATGATATACGATTCTACTACCGCGTTGTTTAAAATATAGGACACTATCCACGCCGTTTGTTCTTCTGTTTTATTGGCCACCGTTTTGATTGAAGACTATAATAGTATTATAACATCATTATAGGCCTTCCGACTCAACGTTGGACTTTTGGCGCGGATTACTATTGTATAATAACATTGGACTCCGTCTCCCTCATTACGTCATTGTTGTAGTCACTTGCAGAGGAACACCTGTCAATCAAGTGGACTCAGTTTGTGGTCGTTGTTCTCACAGTTCACAAGTAACATTCATTCTATAGTAACTGTTAGTGTCTGTTTGTTTAATATACCTTTTGTATTGCTAACGGTATTTTGTTACCTTTGGGTTTTACTAACGGACAGACATCTAGGTTTCTTTACGATTAATTTTTTTTGTATACCACTATTAACCTAGTGTATCAATATATGTTGTGTAAGCTCTTTTTGTTTGGGAACCACCACAATCTATTGTTCTTCATGTTCAGCTTCCAGAGAGCTTGTGCATCTTCTCCCAGTGCTTTTACTCCTTGTTGCTGCAATAAGAAAAACGGACTCGTGCTAGTAACATAACATGTAATGATTTTTGCAACTGTCACAACCTGACACTTCAAACGACGCATTAACCTTTGTAACGGAAAGAGAACAGTGAAAATCCCTCTGCAGCTTCTTTATTGAACAGTATTGTCATTTACTTGTTTCTTCTACCTTTTGTGTATTCCAACCTTTGTTTCGATCTCGTTTAACCATATCTTTTGTTCTCCAGTCTTCCCCGTTTGAGCCTTTATTATGCGACTTTGATTAAAGACTTGCTTTTGTTACCTAATTTTCTATTGCATGTTGCCGGACCATTGACAGTAAGGTTGTGTTTGACTAAGCTCAAGGTCACGGCGTGGTTCAGTGTGTGATTGTGAACCTTCTGACTGCCTGCTTGAGAGGATTGCTGGTATCCCTGCAGATAGATATTTGACCCCATCTTATTGGGAATATTTGTATTGATTCTCAGGTATCAAACCCTTTAGTATTAACTGTCTCTTTCATTGTTTAGCGCGCTACTTTGCGTTAGAGAAACTTCTGACTGTATAGCACAGGCTGTACCGTTTGAGGTATTTTGTATTTTTGATGTAATTTGTTCTGTTTTCTTAATTACAACCGTTTATATTGAGCACAGAGTTTGTGTTTTGATATAATATAATACGAGTATCTCAAAGACGCGTTGTGAGCTATACAGAGGAACTTGGTCTGGTCTAATCGAATAAATTTTGGGTTCGTCAGTCCGTTGTTCCAACCGAATATTGGTTGTTCGGTCGCTACACGTTCCTTCTGCCATACGTAGCGATAGGTTTTCCGTTTGCCGCCTGTAAGTTTAGAGCCGATTTATGAAGCCGGTCGTTGGAATTCCCTGGGAGAACGCTAACTTCTGCGCCAGTGTCGACGAGGTAGCGAACTCTCGTTGTCACATCTGTGACGTATAACAGACGGCTATGTTCGGCGGCTACGTTTGTCGTTAACGCGTGCCAACTTGGAGGTTTCCCGAGTTGCTTTTCGAGTCAGTCGGTTTTGAGATAGGAAAATTGCAGGATTTCCTGCAATTTATGGAAGACTTTCTATACTGGTTGTGATACCAGCACCAGCCTGGATTATTCGTCTCTCGTGATCTAGAGACAGATCGCTTTCGTGAAGTGCTTCTACGGGGGGTGTGTGAGCGTTTACGGGCGTTACGAATATTAAGATAACGCATGAGTGTATGACATAACTTTGTTATGTCGTTCTGAGACGTTTGAGGCTTTTCTTTGACTGAAAAAACCTCGGTAGTAGAGGATTTCGTAATCTCTAAGATACGATCGGCAGATGCAGCCAGTTCGTCTTAGGCGTTGTTCCGAAACGAGACCAGAACAGCTTGCACCTGATGGGGAAGTTTAGACAAGAAAAGTTGTTTGAATAGGCCTTCGTCGAAAGTTCTTGTGCCTATTACCTCTCTCATTCTTTGAAACACGTCCGTCGCAGAACTGTGTTGCAAGTCTATGTTATTAAAGTGTTGGTCTAACCTTTGTCGATCGGTTAGGTCTCCTCGTTTAGGAATGAAACTTTTCAGTGTTTCATAAGGTTCAGAAACATCACTAGTAAACATACTAGGTGTTACGTACCAGTTGGATTCCCGCGGTAGTGCCTTGACTACTGCGAGGAATTGTGCACGTGTGTCGTTCACGCCATGCTCGGGGAAGTCAGCTACTGCATAGCAGAACCAGGCTTCGATATTGTCTGGCCAGAAGGGCATGAGTTGGAACAAGGGTGGGGACATGGTTTTAATCTTAAATACTTCAGGAGTCTGTTCAGTCACAGGGGAATATTAAGTACGAGAATACAAGGGGAAAATATATAGATATCCTGAAACACGGGGAAAAATTATCACAATGTATAAAAAATAAAAAATAAGGCAATAATATATATATAAAATTCCCAAAAAGGAACAGACTCACAGTTGCGATTCGGTGTACCAGATCACGTCGGTCTCACCAATGAAGATGGCACAGGTATTCAGTGTTTGACAACGCTTTTACCAGCAACACCTTCTAATATAATTTGTACCGACCGAGAGAAATCAGAAGACAGAGTCGAGGAGATCGGAAGAGTGTATTTGGCGATTACCAATATATCGGAATTCTCTGATCTAATCTGTCTAGCGATTGCGGTAGGTGTTGAGCACAGCGTTCCCTCTCGTGATCTGGTGCCGATGCATGACCGAGCGCCTTCAGCTAGGTGAGTCCATTAAAACTAATGTAGTCAACATCCCATGTCGAAAACTTACAGAGCTATTTATTTTGGGGATTTATTTACCGCTACAACAAATTCTCTACCAGAGCATGTAACATCAGCCTCGCCGTTGATATATTCAAAAAGAAATTGGACCTCTACAGTGCTAAAAACTTCAATGATTAATATAGGTCTACAGACCTCCTCTCCTCATTACTGAAAACTGAACAAGTTAATGTGTCGGGTGTCCTACTTTGAAGCGAACGCTACATGTCTGACACAGGGCAAATGAGTTCTAGGAAGCTATCGTGAGTTGTTCACAGATAACTTATGTTTAATAGAACTTCAGGAGAGTCTTTATTCCACGTACTGAGAGTTCCCAAGGGGGCAGCTGAAGAAGATTTAAGGAAATCATACAGAAAGGTTAGCTTCATCATGCATTTCCACCACCCCGTTGAATTAGTTTGTGTAACACGTTCTTTCTCAGTGCTTTACATTAACATTCCCAGTTGCTTTAAGAGTCATGTAACGTCAAATTAACCACACGAAATAGTAGAAAACTGATTAAAGTCTCCACATACGTACCTAAGGGTCATTCAAAATGGCGAAATTATGGAAAAATGCGAATGATGACAAAAACTAGTTGCAAAATAAGTTTGTGTTGTCTATCTCTGAAACATTTGTTCCTTACCGTCTAAATCCTTAGATCTCCATACTTTTCACTTGTTCATATTTCTGATGTTTCTGCTCATGCTGACGTTATTTCATGTCATTCTCATTTTATCATCAAAATGGCGAGTAAAGCTGCTTGAGGCTTCGCGAAACGTCCCGCTTATAAGCACTTGGTTTATTCGGGCTCTTTACAACCCGTCGAAGCCCGTCGGTCTACTCCGGGTAACTGAGTTTGACCACAAACGACAACTGTTACGAAATGAAGTCGGGCAAAGCGTGCGTAAGGACCGAGAAGCCTGGTGGTCGTAGCGTGCTGATGGACTTGAAGCAGCAGCTGCATCTGGTAACTACCGGAAGCTCTTCCAACTCGTCCGAGCTACTGGCAGCAAAAAGTCTGATGAGAGCGAAACAGTCTGCGAGGATGACGAGATGCCACTCACCAACATCCATCGATGTCTTGGACGATGGGCAGAATTTTTCGAAGGGCAGTTCAACTGGCCTGCTGCTCCGGCAACATCGGTCCGACTGTTCTGCCCTCCATGGCCGGTGACGACTGATCCACCAAATGAGGCGGAAGTCCGCAAGCAACTCCGACAAATCACCTGGCCCACATGACTTACCTCCGGCCCTTTTTAAAGATGGTGGTGACTTTCTGGCTAAAGAAACGACTGTGTTGTTTACGAAAGTCTGGGAACTGAGGAGCGTATCAGCGTCATGGAATGAGTCGATAATTGTCGCTATCTTTAAAAAGGGT